TATAGATAACTCTAAGAACCCAGCAAGTAATTTCTAATAACTTATACGTACACCTAAATATTAGACTAGTTCTCAAATTGTTTTCACCGATACTCTCCTAAACTCATTTTCATATTTTTTCCATTCTATACCCTGAAGAGTATGAATAAATGAATAAACCATCTTTTTCACACAACCCCAAGGGTTTTCAAAAATAAAAGTACTTTCCATACATTATATTGCTTGAGCCTCACAGCCTTATGAGAATGAGATAATGCCTGCTATATATCTATTTTACAGATAAGGAAATTGAGGCTAAGAAAGATTCAATGACTTGCCCATGATCACGTTGCCAGTAACCATCAGAGAAAGGAACTGAGCCTATGTCCTCCTGACTCCAAGATGAGCGATTGATTATCCACTATAATAAACACACTATCTCTTAAGTGTGCTTGCTTATCAACCATTTTGAATTGTACTTCACCATTCATTTTACAGTCTAAAAAAAGTTTCCTCTTCACTACCTTCACCCACTAAATATAAGAGTGTCTACTGATGACATTGATATCAACAAAAACACATGCTCAGTCTGCTTTATAGTGATCCACTTAATGATGCTGTTTCCTGCAACACTCCTTTACTCCACCCTCAGTCACATAAAGAGATTATAAGGTTATAAGAATGAATCTTACCTTATCTACATAAGTTCCACTTGCTTCATGAGAAACTGGCATTCTTCTATCTGACCATAACCTCTTATAACTCCATGCCACCAAAGGCCTCATCTTTTCTAAATCTATTTTTTCCTTGCATTGAAAGTGCCAATCCCTCTACCTCTCAAGTCCTTTCTCAGGCCATTACCCCTACTCTTTCCAATTTCAACTCTGTATACTGTTCGCTACTCTCAAATCCCTTACCTTCTGTTCTAAAGCCTCCCATACCCCAACCCTGGATTATTCCCATCATACATCTCTTCTGCATCTATTCACAGGTTATTGAACAGAACTATAGAAAGTGTTTATTCACAACCACACTTACTAGGTAAAATTCCTGTTACAAAAAAATTCTTTTGTTTCCTGCCAAGATGGCTACCTTAACCCTCTAGCAAAACCCCGAAGTTAATAACAAAACCAATAATGATCAAGAAATCCAAAGAGAAGCTACATTTAATGACTTCTTCCACCCCAGAAATGCATGAGAATCAGATGAGGCAACAGGAAAAAAGATTGCCAACAAAGTCAAAGCCAGAACAAGGCAATCACCCACTGTGACCAGAAATGGGCCAGGGATACAAGTTTCCTGAAGGGAATTATGTACAGAAACAAGAAGAACAGAAAACTCTCTGAGAAAGCCCCAGTGGTCAAAAAGCCCCAGAGTGGTGACCTTGAAAGTCCCAGGGAGTGGCAGCAGGTAGTAATCAACACAGCAACACACAGACTTGGATAAACCATGAGGTTCTAAAGTCCACAGAACCCCATCTTAAGATAGGAGACATACCAAACTCATCCAAAACTTAACTCATTATCTTTCTCTTCCCCTCCCCTTCTAAATATCCCTATTTTCATTGAAGGCAGCACCATCCTTCCAGTCTCCTAAGTTCATACCCTCAGCATTATCCTCCTCACTTTCACTCATCCCATAAATCCAAACAGTTGCAAAGTGAAGAAAACATGAAACCATGCAGAACACATCCACTAAAATTTATGTTATACAATCTCAACTGGACTCTAACAATTATAAGGCAATCCTTTTATACTTCCCTAATTGATGCATCATTCCGTCAATCACAGTAGCTTTTCCAAACCTTTCCATCTTTCCTCAAGCCACTCATGGCTCCCTCTCCCTCATGTCATATTTTATTGAAAAGCCTGACACTATCTACAGAAAGCTCCTTCTTCTCACCTTCTCCTCATTTCATATCCCTCAGATAACTTCTGCCTTCTGTTTATCTCCTCCTTCACTCCTGTCTCATATGAAGAGGTGGTTCTTCCCCTTGCTAAGCCAAACCCCCTCCCAGGAACAAGCGATTTGGAGTTGGGCCTGTTCTATGTAGTTTAGATTCAGTAAAAACAAGTCATTTGTAGGTTATTCAATAGTTAATAAAAGGAGATTTACTTAGAAATAGCAGAAGGATAATTCAACTGAGAACACCTAGAGTTGATTTATAATTCACCAGTTAAGTATCTGAGACCTTCCCTCAACCCTCACCCCTGGTCCTGTAGGATGATTTATACTCAAGTGATAAGGGAATAACAACAGTCTGATGATAAGGGAATAACAACAGTCTGAGAACTTATCTCTCCTTACCCTCCCCCAGCCAAGGAAATATGGAAGAAAGTCTCAATACTTTTTAAGGAAAAATCAGCATGATCTGCAGAGGAAAGGATTAAGATAATTACTCCTACCACAATCCCTATCTCACATGAAGTAGGCCCTCTTTTAGTCAAGGCAAAAACCTCTACACACATAAGTGGTTCCATTCTATCCTGTGGTCTCCAGCAGACTGTCACCTCTACTACCCACACTCTGTCTCACCTTCAGTCTTTCCCTGTCTAATGGTTACTTTCCTACAGTAGTCTACAAGCATTCCCATGCCTCTGCCATCCTCAAAAATCTATCTATCTCTTAGTAGAGATACCATCTTGCCTCCCTTTTGGGGCTAGACTCCTTAAGAAGGCCATCTACAATCAGTGCCTGAATTTCCTTTTTTCCCCTCACTCTCTTAACTCTACAAAGTCTAGCTTCTAACTTGATCATTCAACTGAAGGTGGTCTCTCCAAAGTTAAGATGATCTCAACTGCCAAATTTAATAGCCTTTTCTCAGTTCTCATTCTTCTTGACTCAACAACCTCTGACCCTCTCTTCTCTTTGATACTCTCTTCCCTCTATGCTTTCACTACCCTGCTTCTTCCTGGTGCTCCTTCTACCTGTCTGATGCTCAAGTCTCAAAGAGAATACTCACATGTATCCTCCAAAGCTCTGTCTTGGACCCTATTCTCTTTTTCCCTCTTATGTGACTTTACTTGGTAATCTCATCAACTCCCACTTTATAGATGATCAATTCCCATCCATATATATGATTCTCAGACCTATTTATCTAGCCCTAACCTCTCTCCTGACTTCCAGTCTTGGATTTCCATCTATGTTTATTGGACATCTTCACCGGATGTCCCATAGACACCTCAAACTCAACATGTATAAAGAAACTCATTGTCTTTCCCTAAAAACTCACCCCTTTTCCCAACCTCACTATTACTATCCTCCAAATCACCTTGGCTCACAAACCAAGTGTCATCCTCAACTCTTCACTCTATCTCATCCCTCTCTCCCCAACTCAATCTGTTGCTAGATCTTCTCAATTTTGCCTTTCCAACATCTCTCCTAAACACCTCCTTCTTTCCTCTGACACTGCCACCATCCTGTTGTAGGCCCTTCTCGCTTCCCACCTAGACCACTGCAAGTGTCATTGCTCTCCTTGCCTCAAGGGTCTCCCCATTCCAGTACATGATCCACTTGGACATCAAAGTTACTATTCTAAAGCACAAGTCCTTGCTTCATAAACTCCAGTCGTTCCCCAGTACCTCCTTTTAAAGAATCCTTCATAATTGACCCATTCTTATCTTTGTAGATTTCTCACACTTGACTTACCTCCAAACACTCTACAATCCAGTTACATTGGTCTCCTTGCTGTTCCTTGCACAAAACACTCTATGCATTTTCACATGATGCCCTCCATACCTGGAATTCTCTCCTTTTCCCTCCTCACCTCTAGACTTTCGTGATTTCTTTTAAGTCTACAAGAAGGTTCTTCTTCCTTAATGTGAGTACCTTCCCTCTGAGATTACCTCTAAGTTATCCTGTATGTATTTTGCTTGTATACAGTTGTTTGTATATTGTCTCCCTCCATTAAGTTAAGACCTCCTTGGGGACAGGCACTTTTTTTGCCTTTCTCTCTATCCCTAGTATTTAGCACAGTGCCTGGAACAAAAGTGCTCAATAAATTCTTTTGACTGGACTTGATTTGCAAAATCTTGCCATTTGTATAACTCTGACATCTCTCATATTCAATTCCTTCTCTCTAATCACACAGCTACTACCTTAATTCAGGGTTCTCACCTACATTATCACAACACTTTATCACTTCTCACATAGATTATTATACCAGCCTCCTAACTGGTCTACCTGCCTCAAGTCTCTCCCCACGCCAGCCCATCCTACATACTGCTACCAAATTTTCCTTAAGTAGGTATGGTTATATCATTACTTTACTCAATCATTTTCATTGGCTCCCTATCATCTCTAACATAAAATATAAAACCCACTACTCAGCTTTTAAACCTATCTTTCTAGTCTAAGTGGATGTTATTTCCCCACCTGCACTCTGTAATCCAGCCAAACTGGCCTTCTCTGTACCTCATATGATACACTCTATGTGCCATCTCCAAGCCTATGCACTGGACATTCTATATAACAGGAATGGGCTCCTGCCTCAGTTCCACCTAATAGAATTCACATCTTCATTTATGAAACAGCTCAAGCAGCACCTTTTACCAGAAGCTTTCCCTGATTGTACCTAATGCTAGTGTCTTCCTTCTGAAATCATCTACTTTGTATTCATTTGTAGTTATTGTTATTTATTTTATATTTATTCCACATACAAATGGAATAAGTCTCTGCTGCCTTCCCCGTTAGAATACAAGACCCTTTTAAGCAGGAATTGTTTCATTCTTTGTAACTGCATCCCCAGCACCAAGAATAGTGCATGGCATATAATAGGTGCTTAATAAATGTTAATCAGTTCAATGAGGGTCTTAACAATGTAGTTAAAAAGAAAACAACAAGCACAAATAAACTACAGAAGTTTAGGAAATGGGTACGAGTTTTTAGGAAAGACTTTCATAGAGGACATGAATAAGGCATGTTTAGGAATACAACCAGGAGTGGCCTGACTGCAGCTGGAACAGTTAATAATTCATGTTTGTAAAACTTACACAGTTACGATTCATCTTTGTAAAACTTACATAGAGTTCTTCAAACTGCTTCTGAATTTCATTATCCATGTCTATGTTATTAAGGTTAGGATCTCTAATGGGAAATGCTTCAACAAATAACAATGCCGCATTTGATCGGACTTCAGGATTTCTGGCCTGTTTGATAAAGGAAAAAAGTCAATGATTTAATAATCAAAAATAAAACTCTGCTGAAATACTTCAGTTCACTGTGAAAAGTTGAACATTTCTCTGTTTTCCTGACGAAAGACTATATATTACTAAAATCTTCCCCAAATACTTATTTTCCTCCACCATCAAAAAATCATGTGGATTAATTTTGTATATATTCATATTTACATATAATCATATAAATTTAATCAATATAATTTACTTATAATCATGTCTCCCCCACATAAATATAAGGTCCTTGGGAGGACAGTAAAAATGTATACATAGCAGGCACTTAATAAATGATTGCTGATAGACTGATACAGGATTACTGCATGTTTCATGTTTTTGTGTCAAGTTAAGAAATGAAAATATATTTGACTACTGCCTTCAAGAGTAATAGAAAAAGAATTTCATTCAGCCTAATTACAACATTTTTCTTCTGATACAGTCCTACTCATCCTATGGTCATCCACAGCAAAGAGTGGTATCAGAACTAGGAAAGCAAATTTTGGGAGATATTCTTGAATCTAGGGATTAACATTTTTTTTAATTCAAAAAGTCATAATTTTTCCTATAAGGCTACATAAAGCATACCTCTACTTTTGTTAAAAAGAAAAATGAAAATAATATTCCGAGTTTAATGGTATGAAGCTATAATTTTCAACCTCTTGATTAGATGTAAGTACTGTTTAGAGATTCAGTAATTCCAAAAAACAACCAAAAACAAAAAACCACACTCCCCAGAGCAGATTTTGTACATATATTCCCATATTCAGAAAATGGTTTATATAGTACCTGAAAATATAATGATTAATCGTACCAAAATCTGGGAAAAAAATATTAGTTTATCCTTGTACAAAAGCATAATACCAATACACCTGGAAAACTTTAAGCAATCCTGGCGTGGTACCTCAAAAAAATAATTTAGAAGACTAGAGATGTTTCAGAGAATGGCAATGCATAGTGCAGCTGAATTTTGGGGGGTGAAAAAACTTCAGAGATATTCTAATTCAACAACCTTTTTTTTACAGATTAAAAGTTTTAAGATTAGGAAATTTAAGGTTAGTGAGGCTAACTCTTTAAGATCCTAAAGTTTATTAGTAAATAAAAAGAAAAATTAGAATTGACTTTCTATTTCCCTGGCTAGGCAATATAGCCCCCTAGATCAGTGAAATCACAGGTCTGGTGGGGAAAAAAAAGGAAAATAAAACATGAACTTAATAATCACAATATGAAATATAGGTCATTTTGAAGATTAAAATGAGCTTAAAACACATCTTTAAAATTAACATAGTAAATTGATGGAACTATCTCAAAGGGTACCACTGCTAAGTAGTACAGAGGACAATGGACAGGGCATCAACAAAACTGAATTTAATACTCGTTCTGTTACTACTTTGACAGTAAAAAGGAATTTCAAAAAGGATCAAGTTTGAGGAATGGTGGGGGAGTGGAGGAGAACAATGAATTTGTTTTTGGAGTTGTTCGGTTTCCTATACAGTAAATCCAGTTCAAAAAGTTCAAGACGCAATTAGTAAGGTGGGAGTGGAGCTTAAGAAACTTTGGAAAGAGCACCTGGGGAGAATCATCCTATAATTTTACCATGAGATCCAGCTTCTAACGGTTTTATTTTGACAAAAAATTCACAGAAATTCACCTTATCAAAACTGTTTTTTCATAAATTTTTCACTAAAGCATTCTAAATTAAAGGGAACAATTAACATATCTAAAACATGTTCATACAATTTAGAAGGTAGATTACCTTTAATCCTCTCCAAAGAATAGGTTTATACAATCTATATAACATTTCTTCTACTCCTTGACGAAATTTTTTTTGATGGTGAAAATAACTTAGCACCTATACAGCCAAAAGCAAAAATATGGTTGGTATTGTAAAATAAAAATTTTAGAAGTCCTTTCAAAGGAAATCAGGGGGAAAAAACTGTTCTAAACCCTCTAAAACAGAAATTAGTGGTTAGCATATTATGACTTTACACGACATTTCTGTGATTCTCTTGAAAAATCATCTTCATTAATTTCTCAAATGGAGGCAATAAGAAAAAGTCAGTGAATCTATTTACCCATAAGAAACAAAACTGCAAGAGAAATAAAGAACATGAAATTATGACTCAGGAAACATTCATTCTAATCTTATCTGTAACAATTATAAGCTGTGTGGCTTTCGGGAAACTATTTAACCACTGTAGTTCTTAGGTTTCCATATATGTAAAATGATGGGACTATACCAGACTGTCTTCAAGCTCCCTTATAACTCTAAAATTTTGCCTTACACCTCAAGACTCACAACTAATAACAACAAGCAATGGCTTCCTCTTTTGTCAACTAGGAATCGTCCCTCACAACTCTAAACTTCAAATGTTTTCCAACATCTTTATTTAATTTTATTTATTTATTTTGGCGAGGCAGTTGGGGTTAAATGACTTGCCCAGGGTCACATACCTAGTAAGTATCAAGTGTCTTATCTGAGACCAAGTTTGAACTCAGATCCTCCTGAGTCCGGGGCCAGTGCTGTATCCACTACACCACCTCTAGCTGCCCCTCCCAACATCTTTAAAAGGAAAGAGAACTTATTTTTGTTTCTTTTCCTTTTTTTTTCTACTCTCTTCCTTTCATTTATCCTTTACTTTAGGCATCCTTCTCAGTTTCTTCCCTAAATTCCTCACACACTGACTTATAAAACAAGCACCTTTTCTTACTTCTCTTCAAACATAAGATTATATTATTGAAAAAGAGAAAAGTTAAAAAAGAGCCCATCTAATGTGGGCATGTCTAATTACAAAGATAGATGGCAGGGGCTTTTGCTTCCAAAATAACTTTCTAACAACTCCCTATAAGGGAGTTTCAAATAACCAATGTCTATACATAAGTAAAGATCTTTCAAGTGAAGAAATTGGAGCAAAAAGTTGCTGTGTACAACAAAACATTAAGAAAACATCTTACTTTGAAATGAAATCCCTTAATCTATTTTTCAATTTTCTTTCTGCTTTAAAAAAAAATTAATAAAGAGTTACCCTTTATCCATAATATGTCCTAAGATAATTATGTAGGCGACAACGCTGATGAAAATGAAGTGTGAAAGAATGAATAATTAATGAATGAAGCATCTCTTAAGCATGTTATATGTAAAAAGCACTGAGATACAAACAAAAGTAAAACAACTTCTCCTCTCAAGGAGCTGCTACTCTAATGGAGAAGACAATACTTCAAGTCAGACAGTCCTTAGGCAGCAGCAGCAAAGCAGATGGTAATAGCTCTTGTTCAAAGTCATTTTCAATAATAAAATGATTTAGTTTCTAGGCTGAACTATGTAGCAGTGTTAAGAACTTTGGAATTTCATTTCTGGGCCTTCAGGAGCTGTGTCTCTAGCACCTTTGGGAGGGGCCACAAGGTTACATTTCTTTTTTTTTCCCCCCAGCCAAAGGCCCCAAAGCAAAAAGGTTAGCTCCTTTAGTGCACTCATATGGATCAATTTCCACAGGATTACCTTTATATGTAATTGGTTGGTTTGAATTATGGCCCAAGTCATAGCCTTGTTCCTTTAAAAAGGACAGATTAGGATGGGAGCCTATTAATACTACTGCTGCAGATAACTTGAAGATTTTCTTCAATCCAGAGATGCTCTGAAGAACACATGTCATGTCCGTCTTAAATGAAAGCACATGGTGCTCAGGAAAACTGGTATAAGGTGATGAAAGATTAGAGTCAATAGAATATAACTGAATACACATCATGATATACCTTATGGTATTCAGGATAAAGTTTTTTGGGAAGTTGTTTGAAAATTAAACTTGGATCAGTAATCCGTTTCTGGAACACATGGATTACAGGAATATTATTGTTGTAAGCACACAGCACAGCATCAGCTGCAGTAAGTCCAGAACCTACAATTAAAAGTGACTCCACTTTGCCATGTAACTTTCCTTTGCTAATGGCAGCTCCAAATTCTGGCACTGAATGAAACACAAAGGGAAAATCTTCCCCTTCAACTTTTAAACAAGTAGGAGAATTCAGAGTTCCAACTGCTAGAGCTACATTCTCAGCAAAGAGACAAAAAGGGACATGAGAGCCACTGGCTATTCTTAGATAACCTCTAATCTCCCAGTTTCCTCTTGGTAAATGTTGACTTCTCCATTTGTAACTGTTGTGTTGAAATATCATCATTATCCTGGTCATCATCATCTTGATCTCTGTAAAGTCTCGATACAGAGGTTATATAAGTATTTTCTCGGAAATTCTTTTGAAGACCCATAACTTTCACATAGTGCTTGTAGTAGCAAGCTATCTCCTCTGGTATAACTCAGTCACTCTTTATGTTCCTTCACTTGGTAGCTACCCAATCCTTAAACTTAAGCCCAGGCAACTCCATCCAGTTTCTAAAGGTAATTGTCAACATGGAACCTTCCATATGCTAAAATTAAAGGTTTTCTTCTCCTTTTAGGATGGCTGTATCTTGACTCTAGAACTCCAACGTCTGAGCAAGAGTTTATCACATTCCAGATGCCAAAATGAATAAAAAGTGCATAATGTATGCCAAGCCCCACCAGGTGGTCCTTTACCAAGAACCAAGTGAGGAATATAACGATGCTGTTCTAATTTCCACTGCAAAACTGATGGATAATCATACCTAAAATCAGCATCTGGATGAAGAAGTGTGTCAAGTAGTACTGCAACTGGATTAGATGATCGGCCTTCAAGATCTTCAGACAATACTCTATATCCTGATCAACAATGGAGAGATGTCCTGCTTCTTCTAATTTACTATGCAAAATTGGATTTGGATGTACAGCTTTTCTGAAGATAAATACGGTCTGTTCCCTGACAACACGTAAGAAAGGCAAATGCCTGAGGGTCCATTTCCAACTATTACCACAGGCAAAGTCAGTGCTGAGTCTTCAGGTAAAGAAGTTTCTTCAACTATTGGCATTCCTTTAACTTTTCTGCTGAAACTGTCACCAAAATATCGTACTAAGGAATTCAAAATCTGCCCTTCAGTTTCAGGATTGCTATAGTTTCAATATTAAATCAGTTCTTCTCCTTCAGTCAATTTTGGGCATTTACAAAGTTTATAATCATGTGTCACCCTGAAGTGACCGGCCAGAGAGCACCGGCAGCACCACACCAGCATCCACCACCACTGTACCTCCTCAGTGCTGTGACAGTTGCCTCCTCGAGCCAGCCAGCGGCTGAGCCGCCAGGGTGCCGACCCCACTGGGGCAGGAGGAGGCGATTCTGCTCCTGCAGCCCCTCGGGGACAGTGCAGCTTGCAAGGCTACATTTCAACAGATGCTTCCCAGGACGATGCCTCTGGGCACTAGGCTGGAAACAATGCTATTCCAAAGGCTCTGGGGTTCAGGGTCATAAGCTAGCTCCACTGGTGTCAGAAGGGAGACGGTGGTCAAAGTGGGGGTGGTGGATTTACTAGCCTGGCACATGCTATTTCCTGTTTCTCCCTCAAGGCTCCCTGCTTTTCAGCTAGTTGGCTTGTTCATCCCATGGGTAGAAGTCAGGTGACAGCTGGTATAGATGGCTAGCCTCCCTCCACAGGAGATGCTTCCCCAAATGATGGCTGCAAGGGACAGGCTAGAAGCAGGAATGGTGGTCTGGGGGAATGATGTTGTTATGTGTTATGCTGATAAGATCCATGACCACAAGAATTATCCCTGTTCAACTTGGAAGGCAAGAGCTCCCAAGATGCTAAACAACATACTAAAATTTCACTATAGCCTACGTTGCTAAGAAATTTAATTTCTTGCACAAAACAAATGATGTGATGTTAACTCACAAAAGGTTATAAAACTATTAAGCAATAGATGTTATATACAGGTGAAGAATACATTTGCTTATATATGTAGCTTATAAAATGACTACTATATGACCTTATTTTCAGGCTATTTTAAAATTGTCTTTTTAATGAAATTTTATGGAATATTTTCTATTTAAAACATGAAATTATAGTGCAAAAAAACAGGAAAAGCTAGTGACTAGGACATTTCCTGTAACCTTTATTTATCCTCATGTAATTCAAATGTAAGCCTCAATAATCTAAAATTTAAATAAATCTTTCCATAAGGCATAAAATTACTATAAGTCCTGTTTCTATTCTGTAAGCTAAGGAGAATGAGGTGATTGTGCTAGGTATGAAAATTAGCAGTGTCTACCAACCTATTTTGTCAATTCATGACTGCCAAAAAAACAAAATTAAGACAGTAAGCCCAATGGACTGGGTTTCTGGTAGATAGTATCTGCTTTAATAGGTCCAAGCATAACAATGGGCCAGATTTTCAATTACTTTCTGCTAAATTCTTTATTATCAATAAGATGCCATTCACAAAAATGATAAATAATAGTGCTTTAAATAAGTAAAAATATCCAGACACAAAGAAAATGGTAACATTTGTGTATATATTCTAAATTTGAAATTTAAAATGGGAAAAATATATTAACTAAGTGCCTGGGAATGAGGTAAAATTGCCAGAAAATCTGTGCAGATCCTACAGTTTGTGGATTAGAATTACCATAGTACGGATAAACAATGAAAATGATCTTAACATAAAAAATAAGGAAACAAATTTATAACACCCTGGAGATTCTTCTCAAATTCTAAACTCCAGATGCAGACTTTAGGTCTTTATTCAGGATTTGATTCCCTCTTTGGTCTACATGACTGTTCAAATCTATTTAAAATATTAAGTACGTAACAAAAAAGAACTTTTAAAAAGTTTAACTAAGACAGGTCTAAGAAAGCATGATAGTAAGCAGATGATAATTCTAACCATTCATAAACATGTTTCATAATAACATTAGAGTCTATTCAAAGCACATTTTGCACTTCATATCATCAACAGGAAATGGAATCTTCCATCCAATGTATACAGGAATACGGGAAACAGTAGCGAAATTGATAACTATAAAAAAAAAAAGATTCCCTTAACTAAATTACCATTTGATTGTAAGGAAGATCAATAACATTAAGTTTTTTTTAAATTTTCAAAATCATGGAAAGTTAATTAAATTTGAATATAAAAAATCATAAGGAAATTGAAAAATAAATATGTTCTGTATCAAAATGTAGCTTGTAAACATTATTATAACAGGTTCTATTTACCTCTCGTACTTTGGAATGCACTGGAGAACTCCTCGGAAGATGAATTCCATGATGCATGAAATCCTGAATACAACCATCTTCAATTACCTGAAATAAAAAATGTAGTAAAAAGAATTGCATTAACAGAAAATTTCAGAGACAATATAAAGTATACTAAGCAGTATAAAAAGTCTAATTTTTTCATCTTTCACTCAGTTGAAAAAAACATGTTTAAGATTACACAGATTATGTTTAAAATTTTAGAAACAGGTTAAGTTTGAAAACAGATAGACTTAACTTTTAAACTTTTAACTCAATATATGCTCTGAATTCCTTTAGGGCAGAGGTAACACTCAAAAATAATTCTTATTTTCTGAAGACAATTTAACTTCATGGCAAATAGGAGGATCAACCACCATGCATCTATATTTACAAAAGCTAATTTGAATCCATACCAGACTAATGGCAATAGATATAGTTAGTGTAAAAGGCTTGAAAGATACACTCATCCCTAACCTTGTGAAATTCTTAAAGAAGAGCAAGTCAGTAAGCCAGAATCAATCTACTCTAAGATTAACACACAAATCTCTGACTGAAGGAGATGCCCAAATCTGCTACAAAACAGAACACAAGGTGTGGCAATAACCCGACTGCCTTGAGTCGACTGTAGCCTGCAAAAGCAACTAGGTGTCAGAGAGTTGCCCACCCCACTTTGAGCAACTCGAAGTCTCTGTCCCAATGGTGCCTGAATGGGGTTAACTACTTACTAAGGTCCTAGAATTTACAATCTTGCAACTGATCAACTTTTACAACTATCTTTTAAAAGTACTGTTGTCGAGGCATTGGTGTCTGATCCCTCATGACCCTATTTTGGAGTTTTCTTGGCAAAGATACTGCACAGGTTTGCCATTTCCTTCTCCACTTCATTTTACAGATGCAAACAGGGTTAAGTTACTTGCTTAGGGTCACAGAGCTATTAAGTGTCTGAGTCCAGATTTAAGCTCATAAAGCTGAGTTTTACTAGTTCTAAGCACTGTGACATCTAGCTTCCCCATTTTAAAAATACTTTCCTGAAATAAGAGCATTACTAAGAACTTGGACTTGAGAACACAAACTGCAGGCTACTAACAGCTACAGATATACTTGAACCAACACTAAGAATTCATTTTCTTTTTAAGCTTTTCAGGAATAAAAATTAAGTATTTCCTCTCAAAGGCTATTTTACAGTATATCTAAACTACAATGCAAAAGCTACCACTGATATAAATGTTAAAGCTTCACATCAGCATATCTTGGAAGGAGCATACTAATAGATTACAAAATAAATTTACTGTGCAGTCTAAGAAAATTGAAACAATTTCTTTTGATATTTCAAAAAGAGAAATAGCATATAAGATGTATTCCTGTAGCACCATATAGGTGATAACCTGCTAACCGAAGCTCTTCCTCACTTGTAGGAAAATCTTTGTAATACTGAAGCAAGAGTCAGATGATCAAGAAAATAAAGAGAGAAAGCAAATTTAGAAATGCGTGATGGAAAGACAAAATTTAATGTAATTCTGAATCCTTCTATATGAAAATGATTTTTAAAAACAAACTATACTGGTTAGTTATTTTTTTTTAATGTTCATTAAATTAAGAAGAACCTTGGTCCAAAAATTTTGCCAAGAGGAATTCGATATTAACTTATAATTAGCCCTACCATTTTAAGTAAAATAATAATAAATTTTAAAATAATTTTTTAAAAAGAAGAGAGCCCTTATATAATACAAACTCAGAAATGGGAAGAGAGTTAAAGTCTAAAACATCAAAGGCTGAAAAAAGAAAAAAGGGAAGGGAATAAGCATTATACAGCACCTACTCTGTACCAAGCATAAAGCACTAAGTGCTTTTACAAATATCTCACTGGGTCATCACAACAACTCTGGGAGGTTGGTGTTATTATCTCCACTTTACAATTGAGGAAACTGAGGCAGATATAACTTCAGTGACATGTTAGTAAGTAAAGGAGGCCATAACTGAACTGAGGTCTTCCTGAAGTCAGACCAACTGCTACATTCACTGTGCTACCTAGGTGCCTGAGGGTTAAAACAACATTTTCAGTTCATGCCACCATTCTCCCCAAGAGGAAAAAAATGTCTTGGGATCAAAAGGCACTAGAGTAAGGCCATTTTTGAGTTAGTAAGAGATCTACTATGATCCCAAGTAGGAAGCTTTTTTCTTGTGCTATGGTGAGAATGCCAAGGATCTGTTTTTAATATAAGTCAGTCATTAATTAATTTCAAAAACAGGTCTTAAGTGGTTTTAATGAAGATTCAAAGAGAATTTTTTAATGGTTCTCAGAATTCTGGAAAATGTGCATTTAATAAGAGAAACCACAAGTCTTGTGTTAGCTAAATGAGTAAGAGTACCATGTAGTGACTTATAGATATCTGACCAAATAATCAAGAGGGATGTATGCAAGTAGTTAATCTTTATTACAAGAAAATATCACACCCTGTTTTCTAAAATTCTACAGCTAATGGACTGTTTCTTTTTTCTTTTCTTTTTTGAGGAGAAATAAGGAGGAGAAAGGAAGAGGAAGAGAAATAGGAGGGCAGCCCAAAAGTTCAAATTATCCCTTCCCTACTGACCAATTAAACATGTGAATGTCTAGTGTAGTTGTTCTGTCAAATTAAAAGCAAATACCTCCAACATTTTCCCTGAAGCCTTCTTCCAAGCTCTGAAATAAATTTCAGCAACATAAACCATCAGAGATCTGTACGAATTATAAAAAAAAAATTCATAAAATTGAGTCAATGCTTAAGTACTATATATACATACATATACATACATATACATATATACATATATATACATACATACATACATATATATAGACATATATATATATATGTTCAGCTATTGTCCGCAATTTGAGGGCTAGCACAGTAATTAAGGCTAGTATTTTGTCCATGAAAAAATATTAAACAGTAATATTAAATATCAAATAGTGAAAAGTCCCGAGAAGGAACACAACACTGAGAAGTTGTTTTCCCAGTCTTTCCAAATCACATCTTCACTATGCCTTCATTATTTTCTAAAAATTTTTAAATACTCCTAGGACAATAAATGGATTCAAATGCAAGTACAAAAGCATATTCCAAAAAAAGTTTTTGGAAAAGATACACACTTCAGATGATCCATTCTACTAATTCCCTCAATTATTCAGCGAATGACATTTATTGAATATTTAAATACAAAAAGCCCCATAATATTTGAACGTTTTATATTACAAAGAACATCATATAAACTTTAATCTAAAATACAGAAAATCTGACATTTTTATATACTATGATCAAATTTGAAATTTAATTGACAAAGTGCTTCAGCTATAGATGGAGTTCACACTACAGAAGTAATACTTAAGTACCATGTCCTCCTCCTTTCTTTTTCAGGCTAAACAATACAAATCAAGACAATATCCCTGATCCCACCAAGATGAGAAATTCTTTCACTATCAATTTTGACCAACATCATACCCTAAATAAATCACTTTTTCCTCTTGCCATAGGCTTAGTCACACTTTGAGGCAGCTAATAATAACTACGACAACAATAATAAAAATTAGCATTTATATAGCACCTACTATGTACCAGGTACTGTGCTAAGCACTTTACAAATATTATGACATTTTATCCTCACAACAACCCTGTCAGGTAGATATTATTATCCCCATTTTACAGTTCAGGAAATTGAGGCAGATAGAACTTAAGTGACTTAGCTGCCATGGTTAGAAGGCACAGTGGATAGAGGACTGGGTGTAGAATCAGGAAGACTTGAATTCAAATCCACCCATCAACACTTACCAGCTAAGTGACACTAGGCAAGTACTTAACCTCTGTCTGCCTCAGTTTTCTCAAATGTAAAATGGGGATGACAATAGCATCTATTTCTGAAGTTTGCTGTGCGGGAAAAAAAAAGTGATAATATTTGTAAAGTTCCTAGCACAGTAACTGACATAGAGTAAGCACTAAATAAATGCCTAGTTCCTTCCTTCCTCTGAAGAAACTGTGTTAAAGTTCAGAGAGGAATTCTGTGCTATCTGAAGATAAGGGAGGTAAGCGGGCAACAACAAGGTTTCTTGATTAATACAACTGAATGATCCAATTTTCAGGTACCATGATTCTCAGACTATTATATAAACCATGAATCCTTGCTTAAAATTACTGAGGAATTTTGTCATTTCTTTGAGAATGTTATCAATTAAAACTCCAAATGGTTTCTGTTAAAGCAAGAGTTTTCTTAATTGACTCCATTCCATTGTCCCAGGATAGATTTGAGGGAATCTATGAACTTGGATGGGTAAAACAAATTCATCTCTATCCATTTCCTTCAATTATTTAAAAATATTATTCTAAGAAGGGATCTGCAGACTTCACTAAACTGCCAAAAAGATCTATAAGCCAAAATGGGTTAAGGACAGCTATCAAAGAGATTTTCAAAGCTACTGAAAAACTGCTCATTTCTGAACCTCTCTCTAAGCAAAAGAGGCTTATAATTAGGTCATATAATTAATATAATTTTTTCTGTCAGGTTTGTGTTTAAAACATAGCCTAGAGAATTTTCTTCTACCAAACAATTTAAAGAGCAATTCTAATGATTAATAAGGAAAAATTAGTCACTAATTTCTAATGATCTAAGTAAAAACTGTGGGAGTTAATTTTCAAGGCTATTTTGAAAGCAAGTTCAGTTTGTACCTTTAAAAAGCTAAGGCTATAACTGCATTAATATTAACTACCTGTAATACATACTTTTGTAAATCTTGCAATTGTTTTTTAATGATCACATGGATCATTTTAATGAAGTTTACATTCCAGCTGAATAGAAAGCTGAGAAATCTTCTTCCCTGTAAAGGAAAAAAGCAAGATGTGATATAAAAATAGTAACTGGATAAAACAATTCCAATGATACAAAAGAAAGAGCAAATCCTTGATTCTCTGATATCACAGCCAACATGTAGAAAGTATTATCATTATAAAGCTTAATATAGCATTTCCTACAGACCACATTCTACAAAACCCTAGTGTTTCCATGACATGAACCAGAGTTCCACGGGGAAGGAGGAAAGGAAGGGAATAGACGAGAAAAAGCAAAATGTAGAATCTTAACATCTTCTGTACTTGGTTGTCAATGTGCAATCCCCATTCAAATCCCTTTCCATAGCAACTAACTAACTAAAGTCAGAGTTCACAACATGAAGAGTTAAAGATACAAATACAACCTCTGATACCATTACTACGTCGCAGTACTTCAAAGACTTATAACTATATCACTTATTATGACACGGAATTCATAGTATATGGGTAAGGTATATAAAAATCTTTGTGTATATTATCTCATTTAAGCTTCACAGCCATGTGAAGTGGTTATCACAGCTATTATTATTTCCATTGTGTAGATGAGGAAACTCAGGCTCAATGATTGAAAGTCTTGCTCATGATCAGATAAGATACTTTCTACTCTGTCTAGCACCATATCCACTATATTATACTGCCTTTCAATTTGAGCCACAAACTTAATTCTTATTCTGCCACTGAATTCTGAAACCCATACTTATGTAAAAATAATTGGACAAGTACTATTCAAACGTCTCTAAAAATCCTGGCAAGGAAAAAAATCTTAGCAGCAAGTGCCTGTGACACAAGTATGACATCCAAGACATATTTAAGGACTGATTCAAATATGTGACAAAAACCATCCCAAATAAACAAATGTTGAAAAGATATGAACAAGCAGTTTTACCACTAGCTAAATTAAAAAGTGCTCCAAATCACTAACAGCTGGAAAAAAGTCCTCCAAATCACTAATAGTAGTGAAAAGGTATTTTAAATCACTAACAGTAAAAGAGTTCCAGATCCCTAATACTAAGAGAAAGGTCAATTAAAAATGAGATTCCATCTCATACCTGTCAGACTAGTAAAACTGACAAAAAAGGAAAATGAAAACTGTAATTGGACAAAGGGTTTTCTTCTTGATGCTCAATGGTAGGAGGCTGTGTGAGAAATCTATATTCATTAAAAAATAAAATTTAATTTTAAAAAATACACAGAAAAGAACAAAGTACAGAAGGAAACACAGACTAGCAGGACAGCTTTGAAAGTAGCATGCTGAACCGAGGCCTTATTATCTAACAACTCCTCATATCCAAGCTGTTGCCAAAGCCTGTTCCTTTTACCTTGGCACCATCTCTTAAGTATGCCTCGTTCTCTCCTCTGATATTGCCTCTACTCTAGTACTGGCTCTCATCACCTCACAACTAGACTATTGCAATAGGCTGCAGGGTCTGCCTGCCTCAAGTCTCTCCTCACTCCAGTCTATCCTCCAATCAGACACCAAACAGATTTTCCTAAAGGGCAGGTCTGATCATATCTCCTCCTTACCCTACTCAAGAAATTCAAGTGGCTTCCCTTCACTACAGGATCAAATATAACATGTTCTATATGGCATTCAAAGTCTTTCATAATCCAGCCCCCTAATACCTTACACCTTATTTCCTGTAACATTCTCTTCAATCAGTGACAATGACCTCCCATCTGTTCCAGGAACAAGACACTCCTTCTCCATCAGCTCTGGGAATTTTCTCTGGCTCTCCCTCAGCTTGGAACGCTCTCCCTCCTCAACTCTGGCTACTAACTTCCTTGGCTTCAAGTACCAACTAAAATCCCTTATTTAACAGGAAGTCCAAACAAACCCTCTTAATTCTAGTACCTTACCTCTGTTAATTATTTCCTGTTTATCTTATATATGTCTTGGTTTGTATAGATTAGTCTGCATACTGTCTCCCCCATTAGACTGTAACCTCCTTGAGGTCAGGGACTACCTTAAGCTTCCTTTCTTATCCCTGGCACATAGCACAGTGCCTGTCACAACGTAGACACTTAATAGATGTTTACCGATTGATTGAATTTACTATATAATAAAAAGTAAGCTGTGTATAACATACATGCAAGTTTTCACATATAAACCATTTTTTGTTCTACTTTACATGTAGAATTATTCTTTTTTGGTTTTCAAATAAAAAAATTCAAAAGTCAAAGGTCAGAATGTGAAAAATCAAACTATAAATCCATTAAAAAGATTTTGAGAACTTTTCTTTAAAAATTCTGAAAGGAAAAGAATACAAACATAGCCAGTCCCCATTCCTACAGTTTATACTTTTTAATTTACTTATTCCAAGTTGAGATAATTATACATGTTATATTTTCTGTCACACTCCCAAATTCCTCAAGATCTGAGACCTTTGCTCATCTTATAACAGTCCTTGGCATTTAATACATGCTAAATAAATATTTGTTGTTGAATTAAGAATTCTTGTGAAATAAAGACTTTTATATATGACTCATAACATATAATTACACATTAGCTATAGAGTATGTTTTATTGCTTAGAAGGAAGCATTATTTTGCTCTCGCCTTTATAGATTTATTGAATATGAGGATTCCATGAAATGAAGGTAAGATAATTCGAGAAGCCTGAGAAGTCTGTTATAACATTTCAAATCAGTAAACAGAGCCAGTTTCCTTCTCTTTGCTCTAGACTCAGATACTTGGAAAGGTCTTAAACTTTATCTTTGTATCTTTTGATACCTCCTCTTCTTCTATCCTCCTTCTGCGCGTGTTCTTTAACTTACTGTACATATCTTTCAAAATATCACTGTTGTAATCACCAACATGAAGCAGGTAGGTGACACAGTGGATAAAGTGCCAGGCCTGAAGTCAAGAAGACTCATCTTCCTGAGTTCAAATCTAGTCTTGAACACTTAGCTGTATGACCCTGGGCAAGTCCCTTAACCTTGTTTGCTTCAGTTACTCATCTGTAAAATGAGCAAGAGAAGGAAATGGCAAAATATTCCAGTATCTTTGCCAAGAAAACCCCAAATGGGGTCACAAGGAGTAAGACAAAACAAAAACAACTCAACAACAACAAAATTACCAACAAAAATGTTTTAGTGCCTAGTACATGTAGGAACGTGCTAAGAAATTTCTCTACTTACAAGTCTATCTAACCAATTATAAAACTTCTTCAGCTTGCTATTCAATATTCTCTAGAATTGAATCCACCTTTCCTATTCAATTTAACTAATTTAGTCTTTGTTTTGTTTTTCTCTTTCCCCACACTAACAATTTCTGCCTGTATACTCTGGCTGGTATAATTTAATCCTTTCTGCTTTCTCTATGCCAATTTAAACAATATACTTTTAAGGCCCAGTACACTTGTTTCTTGAAAACTTATGACCCATAAGTACTCCCTAGTTGTTTTATGTTTAATTCTTATCTCCATAAGGACCAGAAGATCAGATATTTAGCAGTGGGAGAGACCTTAGAGAAAGAAGGAAATAAGCATTTATTAAGCAGCTACAGTGCCAAACACTGTGCTAAGTGTTTTACAAATATTATTGAACTTAATCTTCAAAACACTCTGGGAGGTATGTATTATTATAATCCCTACTTTACAATTGAGGCAACTGAGGAAAAGGTAAGTTACTTGCCTAGGGCCACACAGCTATTAAGTGTCTGAGACTAGCCTTGAACTCAGTTGTTTCTGACACCATGCTCTATACTCTGAGCCACCTCATTGTGCCTCTTAGAAGTCATCTAATTCAACTCCCTCTTTTATATATAAGGGAAACTAAGATCCAGATATTTTAAATGACTTGCCCGAGGTCACATAGGTTAGACAGTAAGCACCAGAGAGAGGATTTGAGCTTAGATCCTATGATACCAAATTCAAAGCTCTATTCATTACCATTGCATCTGTAGATCTTACTATTGTTTTCTCTATCAAGCAAAACTATCTTTGGATAGGAAAGGAACTGAAAAGGGTTAATACTGATAATCCTGTGGAGAAGAAATGTACAAATATATAGCAAATGGACTCAAAATGAAAACCCTATTTACCTTTTCTGTCTTGATACAATTAATATTCATGAAGCATTGTAGCAACATATCTTTAATTTCATTACTTTCCTCCAAATCATAATCAAAGCAAAGTAAGGCCTGATGAATATTCCAAAGTCGAGAAATGTCTGCACCCTAGCAAAATGAAAATAAAATATTAAAATTAATTTCTATAACATTTTAGATATACTTGAGAAATAATAGATAAAAGGAGATTTAGACAACAAATAACAATAAATGTATTTGTTATTATAAATACTATACTTATTATAAATGTAAAAATAAATGGCAATAAACATAAATTTATATATAGGGAAGTTATAGAACCAGGAGAACAATTAATATGGTAACAGCAACACTGTAGGGAAAAATAATTTTAAAAGTTTACGAACTCTGATGAATGCAATAAACAACCACAATTCTGAAGGACCAATGATTAAACATAGTACTATCTTTCTATTTGCTTGTGTTTGTATCCCATAGTGCTTATCACTATATTCCAGGTATATAGTAAGCACTTAATAAATGCTTGTTGCCCACTTTGCCACTATGTGACAGAGAGATTAGAGATTCAAAGTGGTAAATGAGACATATATTTTAGGATATAACAATGCATAGATTTGTTTTACTTGATTATGCTAATTTGTTCAAATACTGTTTTTCTTTTTTATTGTGAAAGAAGAAAGGGAAGAGTGCTAGAGATCATAATGCTACCTCATAAAAAAAGATGAAAAAAAAAGGTCAATGAAGATTTTTTTTTGGAATTCACAGAAAAAAAGGAAGTTCAAATGGTAATAACATTAGGAGGACAGCTTTGAAAGTAATATGCTGAATTAATCATACATATAATATGTTTTATATATTTATATAAATAAATGTACACTTATTTATATAAATATACAAAAGAACCCAGTCATACTTCAACATAGGAACATTGTTCTATAGAAACAAAGTGTTTTATTCATTATACATATATATATAATGTGTAACTTTATAATAAACATTGTTAGTTTATATTATAAAATTTTATATACCTAGACAAAAGCCCAATCAAACTTTAATTTCAACATAAGAATGTTCTATAGGACAACTTAATCCCATATCCAAAATTAGCAAAGAATTACGATGTTCTAGTCAAGAAGCAATAGATATGAAACCTCCAAGAAACTAGCAGAGAATCATTTGTAGCTTGAGAACAATATAACAAAAACAAAGAAGGCTAAACAAGTTGTTGAAAGGTTGAATAACAAAGGAAATAAAAGCCAAGAAGAAGCATAAAGTCACTCAAATGAAAAAGAGAAAGGCTCAAGATTTGAGAGAAACAAAGAAAGCTACCAAAAGGGGAAAGGATTAAAAAAAAACCAGTAGGGGAAAAAAAAGCAGTAGGCAAAGTGGTAAAAACGCACTTTTTAACCTAGGTTCCACGGATTCTGGTTTTTTTTTTGTTTTGATAACTGTATTTCAATATAATTGGTTTCCTTTTAATACAGTTTATCTTATGCATTCAAAAACATGATGCTGAGAAGGAATCCATAGACTTCACCAGAATGCCAAAAGGGTCCATGACACACAAAAGATTAAGAATACCCATAACAAGCATTTTGTAACAACCTGGAATAATTAGCATAATTTTGTTACCCCAAAAGCAATAAAATGGATTTTAAAGACTAAGGTATAAGAAGGCCAATAGCTTATCTAGTTCTCAAACACAATAAAATAACAAATAATGGTGAAAATGTATAGTCAATTTCAACATACTGTTTTAGTATTAAGACTCTTTTTTAACAGCATTATAAAAGCAGTTTTCCCCATTTCTTCTTTGGCTTCTAGGCCTTTTTCCCACCAAGTCACACACAGCTGATGTATGGAATTCTGTAGATTTCTTTCAGATTCAGGCAGGGCACGTATAATACCTAAAGTAAAAATAAGAAAGCAACTTTAAATACAGTAGAACGTCATTAACTCAAACACATTAAGTTTGCAACAGTTTAGTGTACACTGAAATGTGGCATAGTAGCAGGGGTGGAGAATCTGTGGCCTCAAGGCCATGGGTGGCCCTCTAGGTCCTCAAATGCAGCTCTTTGACTGAACCCAAACTTCACAGAACAAATCCCCTTAATAAAATGATTTGTTTTGTAAAATTTGGATTCAGTCAAAAGGCCGCAACCCAAAGACCTAGAGGGCCACACGTGGCCTCGACGCCACAGGCTCCCCATCCCTGGTATAGAGGTCACCTCAGACCCAACCAGGTTGAAGTCCTGGTACCAACACCCAATGGCTGTGTAACCCCAGCAAGCCACTTAAATTCTCAAGGTTTTATGCAGCTTCCTAATACTAATGATGAGGTGCTTGAGTGCTTTTACTGGGACCCCAATTCCAAGACCATGTTTCCCCCTAGCCTCAGAAACATTATCCCTGGCAGTTTTGCCCCAGCCCAAGGACAACAGGCCCCAGCAAGACACTTATCTCTCTCCCTGGTACAGTTCGACAAAGCTGGGTGAGAGAGTGATGGGCTGCTCAGGCCCCAGCCCTAACATGATGTCTCTGGAAGCCTCCCAATTTCTTAGTAGGCTCCTGTCTTGTGAGAAAATTTTCTCTTGTTGCAGAATGCATTGTCTCATCAGGACAGAGAGAGGTGCTTGGCCCAAGGAATCTTCCTCCCGCCAGGTTCCCAAGATCTATGCCTCTGACAACTCTCTCTACTTTTCCATTCGTAGCTCCCAAAGACACCTGGATCTTTAGATTACCTAATTAGTATCCCTGGCACTTCTTTCCCATGCCCTTTTCCATATAAACAGTCTTTCAAAGGTTCCTTAAGAACCCTTGCTCGCTGACAAGCACAACAATAAATCTTGCCAATTGACTTAATTTGAGTCTGTGAATTCATTCCAGAAGACCCTGTCCTGTATTCCAGCCTTTGAGGGGTCTCAACCTCTCAGACCACACACTACAAGTGGCAGAGAAGGTGCAGATCTGCATTGGTAGAGGGAGTTTCCTTCTTCAGTAGGTCCTAGATCAATAAAACCGCCAAGTATAGCCTCTATCTCATAACCTACTCTCATGTGAAATTTCCCTTTGTATTTGAAGGGTCTGCTAAACAGCAATGTAGTCTGCACTTTGTTCAATCATGTTCAAAACTTAGTAATCCCATCTGTGTTTTTCTTGGCAAAGATACTGGAGCAATTTGCCATTTCCTTCTCTAGTTCATTTTAAAGATAAGGAAATGAGACAAAAAGGTTAAGTAACTTGCCCAGGGCCACAAAGCTAAGTGTCTGAGGTCAGATTTAAACTCAACAAGATGAGTCTTTCTGACTGACTCTAGGCTGGGCCCTGTATCCACTGTGGCACCTAGCCGCATGCTAAAGCCACTTAAAATAAAAAAGTTTAAGCAGTGTAGTAAATTATTTCTAAGCAAGTGATGCTATTAACTATAAATGAGTGTTACTTTGTCATTAAAATAAACCTCAGATCACAAAATTTTAGATTTAGAAGAGACTTTAAAGATTATATAATACAACATGTTCCATATAAGAAAACTGAGCCTCCTTGAGTCTAAGTGATTTAGCAAAAGGTAACACAACCAGGCAGTGGCAAAGCCAAGACTCCAATGACAGTACATTTTGCTCTGTATCATACTGTCTCCTAACAGTGTTGCATGTCTATTTGATACACTTATTTAACAATTAGTTTTTATGTAGGTCTACTACAATTACTTGAACCTAACATTTCTTTAAATGCTTTATACTGGGAAATGTCACTAATTTCAACCAGTCTTTTCTCTATATTGTTATCATTTACTAAGGTTTTCTGGATAAACTTTAGTAGTATCAAGACACATTTCATTGTTTATTCCTTGATATCTACTACCAAAAAATACATCAAGGGAAAAAAAAACATTGTTTCTATTTCTTGATTAAATTCATGAACTTTTGCCCTTACCAAACTTATTCGTTTATCAAATAAGTAAAACAATAAAATTGTAAAGGCTGCCACTGGCCATTATTTTTCAGACACTAAGATATTTTCTCATACAAATTCCATAAACCAATACCACTGTTTCAAGAATAAACTAAATTCATTCAATATGGACCCATAATAAAGAAAAATCTTAGATTATTTTTGTATATGAAAAAGCACTGCCTCCTAACAAGAATCCAACAAGTTAGATTCTAAATCAAATAAATTTAAATAAAAAACATTTCACTGGTTCTAAAGCAAACTCTTCTCTTTCAAGGCTTAGTAAAGGACTTGACATTCTTTCAAAAATGTGATATTATAAAAAAAAAACTTACCATTTAATATGATTGCACACTCTAGAAGAGCTTTGTAGTTTTCATTTTCATTTACTACAGATAATGAAATAATAATCACATACGTAATTGCATAGATGATTTTAAAGGTTTGTTTCTGTAAATAAAAAACAGCAACATTAAAATCACAAAATTATCCCCAACTTTTCAAGGAATTAAAGCATTACTAAATTTTTGAATATTGGACTATGCTTCAAAAACAAAATTATTTTAATAAATTCAGAATGTATTTTTAATGCTGAAATAATCTGAAATACAAATTGATTTAAATATATTTTAGCTCATTATCATAAGGAACACACATTCAATCTTTAAGACTCCAGATTTTTAGGTCTGTATACTTCATAGGTACTTTAGTTCAGTTGTTAAAAGTCATTCAGGTATATACTACCATGTTTGGGCCATTTTCTATTTCCATATGGTCTTCACATTCCATTTCATGCCTTTGCCACTCATCCACGGGGGTCTCTAGCAGCACATCTGTTAATAAGTTCTTCAGCCTTTCCCATAATTCTTCCTTCTGTTTCCTTGGTAACTCCTCTAATAACTCATTTAAGTTGAAAGGGTCAAAGACATCTTTCTGTAAAGTTATCAGAATTAGATTTTTTTAAAAAGGAAAGCAGCACTTTTCCTTCCTATAATTTTTGATTATAAGTTTTGTTTATCTTTAATACATGTAACCAAAAAAACCAATATACACTTGGTTGCAGCTTTCAAAAAACACTCTCCATGGGGGAAAAGATAAAAGATAATTAAGTAGCAGTGGGGTGTAAAATTTGTAAGCAAAAATTTATTCTATTGTATTATAACTGAATAATTCTAATAGCATGGCTCAAAAAATTTTTATTTGGACCACCGATGAGGCAGCTAGGTGGTATAGTGAATAGAAAACTAAGTCGAGAGTCAGGAAGACCTGAATTTAAATCCTGATTCAAATACCCATTAGCTATGTGACCCTGGGCTAGTCACTCAATCTGCCTACTTTAATTTCCTCAAATGTAAAATGGAGATAATAATTTACTTCCCAGGTTATTGTGAGAATCAAATGAGTTACTTTTGAACCTAAATACAGTATCCAACACATAGTAGTATTTCCTTCCTCTTCCCCTTCTTTAATTTTAATTAGATAATTCATCATCAGACTCAAGAAGACCTGCCTATGACCCACACTTACTGTGGATCTGGGTAGAGTCACTAAACCAGCCAGTGCCCCAGACATCTCGAAGGCCATAAATTGCAAAGTAGCAATCTGCATTGGTAGAGGAAAGCTTCCTTATGGGGAGTAGCCTGTACCAGTGAAATCAAAGAAAAGTCCAATAAAAAAATCTGATTTAAGTGAGTATCAGTAGTTCACAGAAACTACATGCAATACTTGTGCTTTGGGAGGGAGAATCAATGAGTCATAGTTGATAAACTGTAATCGTAAGGATAATCTGGATTTGAATCCCATCTCTGGCACTATGTGAGCCTGGGCAAGTCAGTCTCCCAAAGCATCAGTTTCCTTATCTGTAAAACTGGAGCAATCATAGCACCTACCTCAAAAGGTTTCTATAAGGATCAGAGAAGATAATAGAAATGAAGTCTTTGCAAACCCAAATAATCAGTCAAGTTTTCAAATATTACTAAAATTACTTATGTATAGCATTTATTTTAAAATTACTGTGGATACCAAAAGGTTTCAGTGATTAAAATGACCCAGAAATAACTAAAGAAATGAACAATAAAGAGCCATGGAACCACAGATCAAAAATTCATTGGAAACTAAATAATTTAATCCCAAAGAATAACTGGGTAAAAGAACAAATCATAGAAACAATAACTACATTAAATAATCACGCTTTAATAATTACATTAATGACAACAATGAGATGACGAACCAAAATTTATGGAATGCAGCCAAAGCAGTAGTTAGGGGAAAATTTGTATCTGTAACTGCTTAGATCAATAAAATAGACAAAGAACATATTAAGGAATTGAACATGCAACTAAAAAAAGAAAAGGAACAAATTAAAAATCTCCAATTAAACACTAAATTGGAAATCCTGAAAAATCAAAGGACAGATTAATAAAATTGAAAGACAACCAATGAACTAATAAATAAAACCAGGAGCTGGATTTATGAAAAAAATAAAACCAATAGATAACTCATTGGTTAATTTAATTTAAAAATAAGAGGAAAACCAAATTCCAGTATCAAAAATGAAAAGAGTAAACTCACCTCCAACAAAAATGAAATTAAAGCAATTATTAGGAACTATTATACCCAATTATATGCTAACAAATCTAACAATCTAAGTGAAATGGATGAATATTTACAATAACATAAATTGCCCAGATTAAAAGAAGAGTAAATATAATACTTAACCCTATCTTAAAAAAAGAAACTGAACAATCCATCAATGAGCTCCCTAAGAAAAAAATCCCCAGGACCAGGTGGATTCATAAGTGAATCCTACCAAATATTTAAAGAACCATTAATTCCAATAACATATAAACTATTTGGAAAAATAGGCAAAGAAGGAGTCCTTCCAAATGCCTTTTACTACTCAAATATGGTGCTGACACATAAACCAGGAAGAGCAAAAACAGAAAAAGAAAATTATAGAATAATTTCTCTAATAAATATTGAAACACTAGCAAGGAGATAACAGCAACACATCACAAAGATAATACACTATGACCAGGTAGGATTTATACCAGGAACGCAAGACTAGTTCAATATTAAGAAAACTATCAACATAACTGACCATATCAATAGCAAAACTAACAAAACTCATGATTACCTCAATACACGCAGAAAAATCTTTTGACAAAATACAATACTCATTCTTATTAAAAACACTAGAAAGCATAGGAATAAACAGAGCTCTCCTTAAACTGATAAATATTATCTGTCTAAAACTATCAGCAAGCTTTATCTGTAATGGAGATAAGCTAGAAGTTTTTCCAATAAGATCAGGAGTGAAGCAAGGATGCTCACTGTCACCACTATTATCCAATATCATACTATAAATGCTAGTTACAGCAATGGGAGAAGAAAAAGAAATTGAAGGAATTTGAACAGGCAATGAGGAAACAAAACTATCACTCTGCAGATGATGATGGCATACTTAGGATCCTAGAGAAAACAACAAAAGTTGAAATAATTATCAACTTCAGAAAATTGCAGGATACAAAATAAACCCATATAAATTATTAGTATTTCTATATATTACCAACAAAATCTAGCAGCAAGAGATGGAAAGAGAAATTCCTTTTAAAGTAACTATAGACAATAGAAAATATATGGGAGTCTACCTGCCAAGACAAACCCAATTACAAAACATTTCCACGATAATAAATTCAGATCTGAACAAATGGAAGATATTATTTGCTCATGGGTAGGTTGAGTCAACATAACAAAAATGACACCTACCTAAATTAATTTACTTATTCAGTGTCATACCGATCAAGCTACCAAAAAATTATATTATACAGCTAGAAAATACAACAAAATTCACTTGGAAGAACAAAAGGTCAAGAAAATTGAGGGAATCAATGGAAAAAAAAAGGGGAAGGAAGGTATCCTATACCTTCTGCCATATTGAATCTCTAAATATATTAGAAAGCAGTAATCATCAAAATAATCTGTTACTGGCTAAGAAATAGAGTGGTGGACCAGTGAAATAAATTGGTACACAATACACAGTAGTAAAGGTATTAGTAGTAATTCAGTATTTGATAAACCCAATCTAAGCTTTTGGAATAAAAACTCATTATCTGACAAAAACTGCTGGGAAAACTGGAAAGCAATTTGACAGAAACTAAGTATAGCCCAACATCTTACACCATATACCAAAATAAGTTCAAAATGGGTACATGATTTAGACATAAAGGGAGATACCATAAACAAATCAGGAGAGCATGGAATACCATACCTGTCAGATTTATGGATAACCAAAGAGTTTACAACCAAACAAGAGATATAGAGAGCATTACAGGAAGTAAATAGGATTATTTCCAATTACATTAAATTTTCTGCACCAACAAAACCAATGAAGCCAATATTATAAGGAAAGCAGGAAACTGGGGGAACTTTTTTTACAACAAGTTTCTCTGATTTTTTTTGTTTGTTTGTTTTTGGTTAGGCAATGGGGTTAAGTGACTTGCCCAGGGTCGCACAGCTAGTACGTGTTATGTGTCTGAGGCCGCATTTGAACTCAGGTCCTCCTGAATCCAGGGTTGGTGCTCTATCCAGTGTGCCACCTAGCTGCCCCAACAGGTTTCTCTGATTAAGGCCTCATTTCTCAAATATATAGAAAACTGAGTCAATTTCTGGCACACAGTAGTTATATATTAAATTGAATTGAAAGCATTGGAAATTACAAGACATGACATGTTGATTATAAAGCAATATATGTGGGATTCAACAAACAAAAACTCATCCAGAGTAGACTAGTTTAAAGAGCATTAGATATGGAGTCAAAAGATCTAATTATAAATCCAGCTTTGCCAATTTGAAATTAGGCAAATAAAGTGGATAAAAGGTTTATACCCTCTGACATAGAGATTCCACTGCTTAGGAATATACCCCCCAGGGTCACTGATAAAAAGAAAAGCTCCATATACACCAAATTACTCATAGTAGTGCATTTTTTGTCATAGCAAATGAGTGTAAACAAAGTAAATATCCACGGACTGGAAATCACTAAACAAATTGTGGTATATGAACGTAATGAAATATTACTGTGATATAAGACATACAAATATGATGAATATATAGAAGTATGGCACGACTTAGAAAAACTAACACAAAGTGGAGTAATCAGAGCCAAAAAAAACATAAAAAATGACTACAACAATGGAAATGAAAAGAAAACAAAACAAATGAAGGTTGCAAAATTTAAATTTAAGCAAAATAAATAAATAAATGGCACAAGCAGAATAAATAAATAAATGGGTAAATAAGTAAATAAATGAGTGGCTAGGCCTCAAAGAAGAGATAAAAGAAAGTACTCCACTCCTTTGTAGAGGAGAGGAATCCACACGTGTACTGTCAATTTTTTGATGTATTGATTAATTTTGCTTATTTGTACCTCCCTCTCCTTTTTTTGCTTTTAAAAAAGTCTTTGTTATAAAAGATGACTGGGAAAGAGAAGAGAGAAGTGACACTGGGAAAAATTCAGGCAATGTGAAAACAAAAGACATCAACAAAATTTTATTTTGACAAAAAAAACATTTAGAAGTGCAGATTTGACATTTACTATTTGACTACTGGCATGACTTGAGCAAGTCACTTTTCCCTTTTCTCAACTTTTTCCTCATCTATAAAATGAATAAGTTGTACTAGATAACTTCTAAGGTCCCTTTAAGTACTAAATTAATAATCTTATGACCTCAAGATCAAAATCAAAATCTCCAAACCACTCTCTAAAACTGCAGAAGTAACCAGCATAAAGCTGTTCCTTACACGATCAAAGAATTTCAAGAGTGGGAAGTGACCTCATAATCCAGCCCATCCAACCCATACTTTAAAAAGAATTCCCATTGTTATAGGTCTAACAAGTAGTGCTCAATCAATCTATGATTAGAAAACTCCAATGAGGAAGGACCAACTACTGCCTAACACAAGCCATTCCACTGGTGGAGAACTCTGTTAAGAAGTTTTCCCTCACATCCAACCTAAAACTGCCTCTCAGAAAATTCTACTCACTGCTCCTAATTCTGTCTTCTGAGCTCAAACTGAACAAGTCTAAGCCCTCTTGAACCTGAAAGCCCTTCAGATATTTAAACACAGATTTCAGTTTCCCTCCCATAACTTTTGTCTGTTTATAGGCATAAAGGTCTAGCAATCATCTGAATTTACACTTTTTAATCATAGCTAACTTTAGTTGCTACAAGGCCCTGGGTTTGTTTTGTTTTAACTTGGGATCCAGGTTGTCTTTGACAGTTTGAAAACCTAGCTCATGGAAACCTCCAGTATGGCAGATAACTCCACACCTGATGAACCAAGTGTGAATTTATAGGGGTGAACAGATAAAGAGCATGAAAGGGGAAACTGAGCAACTGATAAGCTGTTGAAGGTTTTTAGCTATAAATGAATGTTTCAGCTTTTTATTTATAAAGTAAACTTATTTTTTTAAGTTCATGAAAAATTACTAAGGCTTTTTTCTTCTTTTTAAATATATTTGAGATCTGTGATGGGGAATTTAAAAGAAAGATGCAGAAAAAGACAGGCAGTTCTTATATAGGGATGGGCAACTGGGCAAAGAATATTTTTATAAGTCCTCCACAGATTAACCATGAATAAGCTTAAAATGTCAATTTAAAGCAATGCCCCATACATATTCTTGCCCTCCCTAGTACCTAGAGACATCATAATATACTGAATTTAGGGTCAAGAAGACCCAAGTTCAAATTTTGCCTCTGACATTTAGTAGCTGTGTGACCTTTGGTAAATTCTTTCATCTTTCCATGCCTTAGTTTCCTTATTTATAAAATGAAGGTGTTGGATTCAATGGCCAGTAAGGTCCTTTCCAGCTCTAAATCTCTGATTCTATGATCTCTTCCCTGGCCTCCACTTACCTATATGTGTTGTATACTATCATTAAAATGTCAGTTTCTTGAAAACAGCTACTGTCTCACTTTTTCATGTGCTTCTCTCCTGTTTAGTACATTAGGTTATGAATAAATGCTTTTTCATTCATTAATTAATTGATTTAAGAGATCTCAGGCATCTGAACAAAAATTATAGATGGGTTTCAGGTCCTCAACCATCAGAAGGATGAGAGTCAATTTCTACCAAAAGTAATTTATGATATTTGTACTGAAAATCAGTAAAAATACAGAACGCATAGTACTCACATCAAGTTGAACAAATTGCAAAAAGTCTTCAACAAATTCCTTAGACACAGCTTGTAAAAATGTCTTGCGTTTTTCCATGATGAAATATTTTTCATATGTTATTTATTTTGTGACTCTAGAGGCAAACACAATAGTTACATTTCAATTTGCACGTGAAAAGATTTACATGAAATTTATAGTCTAATACTGGGGGGGAAAGCATAAATGTCTTTAAAACATATCATCTCAAAAGGGAAAGGACATCTGAATAAAGGAAAAATAACTTTTCGTTACCATTCCTGAAGACTGGGATGACACTTAAGTATTTTTTTTCCCCTATATCAGTATGTACATTATAGACTGATTGCTAGGGACTTTCCTTACCACAGATCACAGACAACAATGACAGCAGTAAGGTTAGAAGGAAGCCACTGTACTGTGGACAAATACATTTTTGTACCCAGCAGCAATAAAAGTAATTTTGCTGAGAAACCAAGGCATTAGAAAAAAGGGAAGGGAAGATCAGAACAGCAATATTAAATAGATGGTAATTACAGAATTTCTCATATAGAACTACAAAAGGGAAAAAACCAAAACAGAACACAACCATAGTATATACTATCCAATCTTTATCTAATAATGGTCTTTAATCAAATTAGTTACCTCTCACATCAAAATGGCTCCTGGTGAAAAACTCATATAAGAACAACAACACTGCAAAGACAAGCAACTTTTAAAGACTTAAAGACTCTTAATTAATACAATGATCCACTTGACTCCAAAGGATCAAAGATGAAGCATGTTATCTATCTCCACCTCCTGGAAGGCAGGATGCAGAATGAGACATTTTTGGAAGTGCAAAGCAGCACCTAAACTGTAAACACCAAATCAGCAAAAGAATAGTCCCAGAAATGTCTATGATAACAAGCTTAAGTTTGGAGAAGAACTGGTTGAATTGTGGTGATGTCCGTCTTCTCTGAAAGTCCTAGAGCACTTTTGGTCTGTTAGCCTGCATTATTATCTGAAGATGTCCATCACTCCTATGATCCTGTATCCAATGGTCTTCACAAAAAGAACACTACCGATTACGAAGCACAAAGTCCCCGGTGACTGACATGAGGATGAGGAGCAAAAGGGTTGAGCACCCGGTTTCATCAGTAATATGACAAAGCCCCAGCTATGATGTGGGAGCCTAATCAAGGATTTCAACGAGGGCAAAGAGTGAGAAGTAGTCAAACCGGGAGCTTTTCAGAGAGGGAGGCTCCCCGAGAAAGGGAGTGAAGGGAGAAATTAGGATGCCCTGACCGCCTCGGCTCTGTCTGGTCCAACACAAAATCACCAAGCCAGGATGAGATAGGAAGAGTTGTAACAACAAATTACGATGCCCTAAGTTACAACGCTCTTTCCGAGAAGGCCTCGGGTTCCACGGCGGACCAGGGGAGGGCAGGAAGGATGCCCGCCGGCTGTCAGGTGCCGGGGCAGAGCTGTGGGACACGAATAGCCCAGGATGAAGAAGGCTTCCCGCTTCCCGCGTTTAAAGAGGTCCCAGGGAGGGAGTCACGGCACAGGACGACGGCGGGGCAGGGCTACCCGTGGTGACTGAGGACGCGGCCCCCGCCACGACCCCTCACCCGCCCCCCCCAAAGGTTCTACGTCGCCTCCCCTGACCTTTTCCTCTCGGGCCGCCCCGGCCGCTGCCTCCGCGGTTCTCCACTTGGCCTCGCCTCGTCTCGCCCAACGCCCGGACTCCGGCTGGCGGGAGAAAAATTCAAACAAACCCGCCAGTGCGGACGCCGCCGCCGCCGCGCCACCGTAGCCTCGCTTTCGAGAGTGGAGTGGGCGGGGGAAACTCTGTTCTCGCGACACCGAGCTACCCTTCCTAGTGGGGGGTGTGCCCGGGTGAACCGAAATAAAGCCCCGCCCCCATCAGCGTTTGCCAGAGGGTGTTTTGGAGGGGATGTTTTGTAGTTACGGTAACCAGGACGGAGCGAAAAGCGGCCCCGGCCCCTCAGCTGTCACGAGCTTCTCGCGGGATGTGAGACTCTGCTGGGCGTCGCGCGCTTTGGGGTACTCTTTTTCCGGTTTCCGGTGAACGTGTTGGCCTACCTATGAATTCTTTCCTGCTCGTGAGACGGGTTGCGGTGTTTCCCTGACCACCTTGGCTCCGTCTGGTCCAAAACAGGATGGAGACAGGGAGAGGCAATGGTGACTAAAGGACCGAGCTTAGAAACTGGAAAACCCGAGTTCAGATCCTGCTTCTGACACGTTTATTAGCAGTATGATTATGGGCAAGTCTTTTAGTGACAGAGGTTACTTTTCTGTACTGATGAAGGGAATAACCACTCTCGGAGTTCCCCACTTGATGAAAACACAGGCTTATGCCAAAAAACTTTTTTAAAAAATGGAGAAAGAGAAGAGGAATAACAACAACTCTAATTTAGAGCAGTGGTTTCCAACGTGTTCTGTTCAAACTCCTTTTGTGTTGTGAACTCCTAGAATAATTTAATAGGTTAATCAACATTCTTTTAGATTGATTTAAATACAATAACTACAATAACTTTTGCTCAAGTAGGCTCCAAACTAAAATTTAAAATATGTAATTATAAAAAAGTTATACTGTAAGTATGAAAACTAAATATAAAATTGTAAAATATTACGAATATCTATGTAGGGCACTCTAAAAGCCATTAAAAAAATAATCCAGCAAGTTCTTGTATGCTTAATATTATCTATAAGACTATGAAGTTAATTTTGTTGAATATAAACAACATTTTACTGAAATGTCACAACTTGAAATATAACATAATCACACATACTTAGATTTAAATTTGGTTCCATGTTGAATTTATTGCAGTACTGTGATTTAAACAAGAATAAAGTGAATATATTTGCTTATATCAATACAGTGGTGGAAAATAGAATGAGCTTTCTCACTGAGAGATAGAAATTTTTTTTTTAATTTTTAGCCAGCTAATAGCTTTATATGCAAAATGTTTACTTTTCTGATGGCTAATGGTGAGTATTATATTAAATGATACATGTACTTAGATTTCAGTTGAATATATTGCTTTACAATTATCCCTTCCAAATGAGGACTTTCCCCATCAGGTTTTGACATGTCTGGGGTCTGCATAAGAAATTAAGTGGGAATTTTGGAGGAGTTTTGTGGAGGCCACAGATGACACACTAAGGCCAGCAGACAACACAGAAAAAATTTGGAAACTCAGAAATACATAAAATATACAAACAGTATTACATAATATCAATGTTTTATTTTTTAATGCCATTACAATTTGGACTTCTTTGATACAAAGGGAGGGCTAAAATTTTTTATAACTATTTTCCATAACATAGGGGCACCATGCCCCTAATCCCCACACGGTATAGAAGCAATAACTATATTTTATTTTTCTAATTTAATTTTTTTTTTTTTAGTGAGGCAATTGGGGTTAAGTGACTTGCCCAGAGTCACACAGGTAGGAAGTATTATGTGTCTGAGGTCACATTTGAACTCAGGTCCTCCTGACTCCAGGGCTGGTACTCTATCCACTGCGCCACCTAGCTCCCTCCAATAACTATATTTTAAACAACGTTTATACATAAACTAACCTTTGTAAGGAAAGAATCTTCTGATGGTACTTTCTTCTCTCTTACACTGGCATTCTGGCCATACTCTTACAGGAACTATATTTGTTTAATGACCAGTCTTGCCAGCCAGTTCATTTGAAAATCTACCTTGTTGAAGAATAGTAACATAAGCAGAAGATAAATGTAAAATATTGGAAAACGGCTCCAACACTGCAAAGAGCACCTGTAGATTTCTTTTCTACAGAACGTTTGGGATAGTCTGTAATGGTCTCGAGATAGTTGTAGGAATTGTGGTTTTCAAGCAACCTGACGTTTGCACTGCCAGAATGTTATTTTTTTTTAATTCTGTCTCACTAAGAGAGCTTGTAAAATTTTCTGCCACATATTTGCATGAATGAGCATATTATATCACTTTATTCTTGTTTACAATCAAAATACAGAATTTAACTCAATACAGAACCAGATTTAAGACTGTCCAGTGTTAAGCCAAATATTGCAAACCTTTGTTCAGATGAAAAAGTATAACACAAAAATTAAGTTTATGTACAATTATTAAATGTAAACATAATATCTTGATCATGTGATTACACAGCTGATGAAGTATAATTTCAAGGTAACAAGAAAGAGGGAGCTACTCTGGTATAGTGTAGGCAAGGCTTCTTAAACTGTGGGTCGTGACCTTATATGGGGTCATGTAACTAAATGTGGCTGGCAGTTATGAAAAATTTGGCAACCCTGCAACAACCAAAAATTCAAAATCAAATGCGTAATGAATCTGAGGTGTTTCTGGCATCACTTGCTCATGTTGCATCCCACAACTTCACTGCAGCCTGTGTTCTGAACACACAACATGCGCACTTTGCACTGCACATGCCATCAGGCCATGCAACACCAACAAAATGCTGCCAGAAACACCTCAGCTGAGGTTCAAGATTATCGTGTGTTATGAATTGCAGTGTTTTTACCATATATACAAAGTTTTCTGTCGTTACAGAAATATAATAGTTTACTTACAGAAAATAAAGACTTTTAATATTTTCCTACCATCATTCCTCAGCATGTAAGTATAAAATTAGTATGTCTTTGGATTGTATTGTGTTAGAATGTTTGATTTTAAAAATTTGCTGTTATCTCCTTTTATAGAAACATAAGTATTTAATTGCAGCAAGTGAAAAAAAGCCCTTTAATAATATTTGTCCATCACTGCTATATGTGTACGTGTGAACATCAGTTTTTTAAATGAGGCACAGGCAAATGCAATTTCATAAACTAAAGCTAATATTCATTCGAGAAATTAATAGCAATATTAATTCATATTTTAGGACAAAAATTTTTCAGGTATGGATAAGTAGGTAAATTTAGACAGGAGAGGTAAAAATACTGATGACAATGCCACAGAGTTTTTGCTACCAGGTTTAGTACACCTGAATTGACAAGAAAAAGAAAATATGTCGAATCATTTTTGCAGTATGGATTTACATCTAATGAAGATGGTGTGGAAAAATTTCTTTGCTTAATTTGTAATCCAGTTTTGGCTGTGGAGAGCAGGCAACCAGGCAGACTAAAACAGTATCTTAATACCAAGCATGCAGCATACTGCAATAAAGTAAATGAATATTTTGAACAGTTTTTCAAATCTCCAAATAAAAACAATGTTTTCAGAAATTTGTTACTGTCAACAAAAAGCATTTACTTGCATCTTAGGGAACTTCTTATTTAATTGCAAAAACTAAAAAGTCCTATGTGATAGGAGAAGGTCTCGTGTTACCTGCTGCTATTAAAATGTCAGAATCAGTTTATGGGAAAAAAGTATGGGGATGAAATTTGTAAAATTCCTTTATCAAATGATACTGTATCCAAAAGAATTTCTGAAATTAGTAATGACCAATTCAAGCAGCTTATCACTAGGCTTAAGGACAGCCTAAAGTCTGCAATTCAGTTAGATGAAACAATTGATATTTCTAATGGCACAGTGGCACAGTTGTTACTTTACATAAGATATGTTTATGAAGGAAGCATACATAAAGAATTATTGTTTTGGAAGGGCACACAGAAGGGAAAGGTATATATCTTAAAGTCGATGAATTTTTCACAAATGAAGTTTTACAGTGGAAAAATGGTGTAAGAGACTGTACAGATGGAGCTGGAGCAATGATGGGTAAGAATGTTGGATTTGTAGCAAAAGTTAAAGCTGGTGGCAATAAACATACCACTTTTATTCACTTCATGATCAATCAGGAGGCATTTGTAGCCAAAAAAAAATATATAAACAGAGGTATCATAGGTCATATCATAATTTTTTTTAAATAGAGGAGCAAAGAAGAAATTTCTTAATATATTGGTAAGAGTTCTTGATCAGAAATGGCATACAAAGGATCTCACAGACCAGGTGGACAATTTTGATTACATAAAACTAATTTTTTTTTTGCATAATTAGTGCATCTGGAATTGGAATGGAAATAGTTAATTGGGGGAAAATACTTGCAAGAATTTTCTCATTTCCAAGTTATATAAAGAAATGATTCAAATTTATCAACAGAAACATCATCATAATAGCATTTATATAGCATTTAAGTTTACAAAGTGCTTTAAAATATTGTATCATTTTATCCTCACAGCAACCCTGAGGGGTAGGTGCTATTATCCTCATTTTGCAAATGAGGAAACTGAGGTAGATAGTTAAGTGACTTTGCCTGAGTCACATAGCTAATGTTTGTCTAAGGTGGAAGTTGAACTCATTTTAATGATTCCAGAATAACTCAGCAATTTTAAATATGTAATTTATCACAAAATAAAATTGTACTCCAAATTCCCAAATTGAAACTATTCACAAAAAGCTATGTCTTCAAAACAGTGAATTCAAGAAAGTTGTGAATTCAGATAATCAGATGAGACTGCATTTTCACAAAGCACCAAAGCAAATATTTTTGTAAAATTGGGACTACCGGGAAAAGCTTGGTTCAGAGTAGGTTTGTAAGCCATTTTCAGAATTGTGGGTGTATTGAACATGAAATACAAATATCAACACATGTTTTGTTAAGAATTACATTAAAATTTGTATTTTGTTTTTAATACTTAATTAGTACTTTGGTTGATTAATCTATATTGGCTATAAATGACAGAATTTTGTGTATCATTATTTTCTTTGAATTTACAAGGGATATCAAAAACAAAAGATCCTAGCCCCAGGCACCATCCCTCCCCCAAGACCACTTGCCTGGGTAATTTATACCAGTTTCTCCCACTTATTGGCCACAATGTTCAAAGTGTAACCTGGTCTCCCTCTTGCAAGAGAAGGTTAAGAAATAACTTCATTTTAGAGGTTACTGGAGATAATGGAGTGCTTCTAAAGAGGATTTTTGTGGAACTTCACTATTATTCATGGTGTACCTCTGATTTCTATCTGTGATGTTATCTGATTTAGAATTAGAAACTGGTACATGTTCCTGTATAGGGCCCATCGGCCCGGTGGTTCTCATCTCTTCTCAGATGAGGTCCATGTCCTCAGTTTTAAAGGTGATTGATTGCTGATATTCAATCATGTTTAAGCTACTTGCCCAGGGTCACACAGCTAGTATCTGAGGATGAATTTAAGCAAAGGTCCTCCTGACTCTATCTGCTGTGCTCCTAAAAACATTTTTAACATTGTCAACAGTAACTGCCAAAATATTTTTCCCAAGGCATTCATTTAAATTTGCAAAGCACAATATTACAAGATGAACAAGCTTCATGGGTCTTCATGTTTTCTACACAATATCTCATTTCCAAATATAGTTCTCTTTCATCCTTCCCCAGGGAATCAGCTTTTGTAACAAAGAATGAAAAACAGAGAGAGGGTGGGGTGGGGGAGGCCAGGAATAGTTCAAAACCAACACATCAAACAAGTCAGACATCATATGCAATATTCCACACCCAACTACTCCTATCTTGGCAAAAAGTTGCATCTTTTTTGGAAACAAAGTTGATTGGAGCATTTGGTTTTGTTTTTATTGTTGCTGTTTTCACTTACACTACTTTATCAAAGCTAGGCAGCTTGTTTTATAGCTGATCTATAGTTAAACCTTAGGTTAAAGTGATAATAGCTAAAGTTAACATAAGTGATAGCCGTAAGTTGTATAGAATCTTTTCAGTCATTTCTTGTATGTCTTCATTTAGAGGTACCCAACACACACACACACAAAATATATATATATATATATATATATATATATACATATATATACACACACACACATATATATATATAATTCTATATGTATTTTTATATTTGTTGCGTAGGTATGTCTGTATTTTGTACATATTTGTCTTCGTATGTGTGTGTATATATATATATATATATATAATATATATTTTTGATAGTTGGGTTTTATTTTTTAAAGTATAAATGATTACACCATGAACACTATCTTTGAAAGGTCCTGATCACACTCAACTGGGAAATAGAAACTGCAAATGCTAGGCTCCATTACTCAAGGCACCACCTCCCCCTGGTGATAGCTAAACAAATTACAACTATTGAATTTCAAAGGAACATGACTTGCTTGAATCACCCTATTTTGGGGGCAGTAATAACCACAAAAGGAAATAAGCTGGAAAAAGCAAGGGTAATAGGAATAATACAGTGGTGGAAGGGATCATATTCTTATTTGAGATGGTCTTATTTGAGGCTTTGTACTGGATAAATGTTGAGAAAAGGCTACTAGATTGGCAGTTGTAACTTTGGAGGTAAGTTTCACTTGAATAATGATGCGAGAAGCCAGATTAAAATGATTTAGGAAGACAAGAGGAAATGAAAGCAAGAAGAGAAGATAACTTTTTCTAGGATTTTGTTTGTGAGAGGAAAACATAATATAGGATGATAGTTCAAAGGGATGATAGGGTCAAGTGAGGATAATATGCTCCTTGAAGTGAAATGGCCCAACTGTCTTGGGAAATATTTTAGAATTATTCCAGAAATATGATAACTAGTCATACACCTTAACCAAGTGACCCAATTGCAAGGCATTCACTCCAAAGCCAGAAATAGAAAGATTCAAAGAACTAGAAACAAGGTGATGCTAATCAATCTTGGAATACCTAAATGAACTGTTTAATATTATTGTATAATATGAAATACTGATCTGATCTGCATTCAGACTCCATAGTTCTTTCTTTGGATGTGGATAGCATTTTCCATCATGACATTTTTGAAGATGTCTTAGATCCTTGCATTGCTGAGAAGGGCTATAAAAATGTGCATACCCTTTGACCCAGCAATAGCACTTCTAGGGCTGTATCCCAAAGAGATCATATGTATATATAGAGCCTATATTAGCCTATATTGCATGCTGTCTTGGGGAGGGAGGTGGGAAAGCATGGGGAGAAAATTTAAAATTCAAAAGCATATGGAAATGATTACTGAAAACTACAAATAAATTAATAAAAAGGGGGGAAAAAACTATTGCATACTCTTTGATCCACAATACCACTACTAGAGCTGTATCCCAAAAAGATCATAAAAAAGGGAAAACAACCCACATGTACAAAAGTATTTATAGTAGCTCTTTTTGTGGTGACAAAGAATTGGAAATTGAGGGGATGCTCATCAATTGGGGAATGGCTGAACAAGTTGTGGTATGTGAATGTAATGGAATACGATTGTTCCACAAGAAATGGTGAGCGGGCAGACTTCAGAAAAACCTGGAAAGACTTGTATGAACTGATGCTGTTAGCAGAACCATGAGAACACTACACAGTAACAACCACACTGTGCAATGACTGAGTTGATTAGACTTAACTCTTCTGAGCAATGCAATGATCTGAGACAGTTCCAAAAGACTCATGAGGGAAAATGTTATCCACATCCAGAGAAAGAACTATGAATGCAGATTAAAGCATACTATTTTCTCCTTTTTTGTGTTTTCTTCCTCATAGTTTTTCCCTTTTGTTTTGATTCTTCTTTCACAACTTGACTAATGTGGAAATGTTTAATATGATCATGCATGTATAGCCTATATCAGATTGTATGCAATCTTGGGGAGGGAGAAGTGAAGGGGGCCGGATTTAGAACTCAAAATCTTATAGAAAAACAAATGTTGAAAACTGAAAATAATTTTTTTTTAAGTTAGGTTCCTTAAAGGCAGGGACAGTTATTTTAAGTTCGTGTAGCCCAAGGACCTGGAATAACACCTTGCACACAGGTGTCAACAGTTATCAAGGGCTTCCTCTGTGCCACACACAGTGATAAGCCCTGGAGATAAAAAGAAAGGTAAAAAAACAGTCCTTCCTATTCCCAGAAGATTCATAGTCTAATGGGAGAGACATGTAATCAGGAAGGCACTAGCAATGAGGGAGCCTGGGAAATGGCTTTTTGCAGAAGGTGGGGTTTTGGCTGAAGGAAGCCAGGGAAGCCATGAGGCAGAGATGAGGACAGGATGGCAAGAGAGGGAGATGCTAGTAAAACTGTCCAGAAAAGGAGATGGATCATTGTGTACTAACGAGAACATGCAGATGAGTGTCACTGGATCCTATGGTATGTTGTTAGGGGGTATGGAAGTGAGAAGACTCAAGGTGTGAAAAGTCTGGAACGGTACAAAGGGGCCAGGCTTATGAAGGGCTTAAAACCAGAGGATTCTATATTTTATGCTGGATGTAATAGGAAGCCATTGCAGCTGAATGAGTGTTTGGAAGTGGGATAGGGTCAACCCTGTCCTTTAGAAAGATCGCTTTTGTTTGCTGAGTGGAGGATGGATCGGAGTGAGGGGAGATGGTATTTCTTGAAATTAGCAAATATTTTTCATTCCTTTAATTTGGTGTTGGAGGATGTGTTGGAAAGACCTTTGCAGTAAAAGATGAGGGACTTGGATGATAAGATGCTTTAGTATTTAGTACATGTGTGGTATTAGGACATATACTTAAAACTCTTTGGGGACATCACAAACGCTAATCCTATCTTACCTGCCTAAAGGCGCTGGACCCAGTCTCTTGGTGTCGTCCCTGTGATGCTATGACAGATACCTCACATAAGCAGTTTTCCTTTGTACCAGCTAAGTCCCTCAGTGGATACAGTATCAGGCCTACAGTCAGGAAGACTCATCATGAGTTCAAGTCCGGCCTCAGATACTTACTAGCTGAGTGACCCTGGGCAATTCACTCAACCCTGTTTACCTCAGTTTCCTCATCTATAAAATGAACTGGAGAAAGAAATGGCAAACCATTCCGGTGTCTCTGCCAAGAAAACCCCAAATGGGGTCACAAAGAGTCAGACAGGACTTAAAAAAAAACCCAAAAGCGACAGGACAATCCTTATCGAAAAGATGAAGGAACAACGGTACGTAGTTCAGAGATGTTTAGTGACTCGTCTGTGATCAAGTAGCTACAGTATCAAGGGCAGGATTTACACCCAAGCCTCTTCTACACCCAAAGGCAACTCTCTTTTGAAAGTGATTCTCATTCTTGCAGATTTGTTATCCTAATCACATTTGGCTTAGACCAAAACTAAAAATAATTTTCTTTGTGAAAAATGTTGGGTGCAAGGCAATAAACCTAGAAATAAGAATATTATGGATGATCTACAAATTGGTGATTTGAGGATCCTAAATTTCAATGAATGAAATAGGTTATAACCAGATTATTCAATGTCTTTTCATGTTTACAGTAATCTAGAAAAAAATAGGAATCTATTATGACTGGTATTCAGGTGGGGGAAAACAATTTTATCAGATTTTACAGGTGCTTAAATATTACTTGAAAATAGTTTTCTTCTTATAGTTGATTCTCATTTAATGATTCAATCCTGCAGTTAGAAACCCTGAACTCTAACTGGAATGGCTAAAAATAGCCAAATTATATTTCTTCTTGATAACTACTCTTATTCAACTCCCCCTCCTTTGAGGGCAGGAAGGGGCAAAGACATTTTTGAGTAGAACTGTAGTACTATTTCAAGTATGCTAGACTTTTATTTCTCTTTGTCTGTAGGAACAAATATGTGAAGTAGATAGTTCTGGAGCTGTTAACGGATGAGTTAAGTAATGAGAAAAGATGAATTACTTCATAGTGCTTTCTTAGCTGTGATTGAGGTTCACTTACCTGGTCACACCAATGTAAAGGATCTAACCATCTATATATTTTCTCAGCTTCTAAGCCAGAGTTAAAAAGACAGCTGCCTAAACTGGATCTCAAGTCTTCCTAGCAGATGCACTATGCAGTAGTTTCCAAACAATTTAAGTGAATTGAACTTCTTAAGCCCAGCACCAGCTATGTTCTCATTAAAACAACCAAAGGTCTAATTTTCCATTTAGTTTTCTCCAATCTTTGAATGTCATCTTTTATTTGAACTTTTGTCTTTAGGCTGGGTGGAATCCAGTCTACTGTATGCTCATGAAAAGTCCTAAGTCATATTTAAGGCAATTCTTCCCTGTTACTTACACAACTTCACAATGTTTGGTTTAAAACCAGGTAGAAAGGCGTCAAATCAGGAAAGGAAAAAACGGGAATAGTTCAAATTATTTATTTCATATAGTTGTGAAAACAAAATAAATGCATAGTGTAATAAAATAACCAGCCTTTGAAGGGCAGCTAGGTGGTGCAGTGGATAGGGCACCGGCCATGGAGTCAGGAGGACCTGAGTTCAAATCAGACCTCAGACCAGATGCTTGACACTTACTAGCTTTGTGACCCTGGGCAGGTCACTTAACCTCAATTGCCTAAAATAAATAAATAAATAAAAAAACTATCCTTTGGATCATTTGGACTAATCCTAAAGTTTTATTTTAGAACAAATATTAGAGAAAAGAAAAGTCATAAACCATCCACCATATGAATCATTTATTGAATAAATACATGCATGTATTTTACTTAAGCATGTAAATTACTTAAGCAAAAAAGGATAACCTATAATTAAAAAAATTCCCTCTTCACTGATTTCCAATTTTACAGATTCCTGCAACTCTGAAATAGAAGGAATTGTGACAAAAAGAACAACTTTATTTAGTCCAAATTACAAGTGCTACCCATACTGAATCACGTTTGGTGTACATTTTCACTGATTTTTTTTAAAATTTATTTTTTAAAGCCCTTCTCACCAAAGCAAGAGAATTTTGTACAAATTTTCATAGCATAAAATATAAATGTTGATATGTACAGCAAAAAAGAATTTTTTTCCTTTAATTTTTTTTAAACACTGAAAACAACAATACTTTTGCACTTTATACTTTAAGGCACAGGATATACAATCTACATGTACAAACCAACCAGAATTGCTGTTTGAAACTCATTTAAGTAGATTTTTTTTTCCTGTTTGGCTCAAAATGAAAAGTGTTAAGTCCTCTACTTAACACATGTATCAAAAATTAAAAATCAATACAAACTGAATTTTTCCACTATTAAGAATATAGTTCTAACAATCTAGGCTTCATGATCATCCCATAATCTAATCTTTCAAGTATTTCATACTAGATCCACCCCGCTTTTGTTCCTAATCTTACCATTGTTTTTATGATGCTATAACATCCACCTTAAGCTGTCGTCTTTTCTTTTAAAAAACTAAGGACAGGTACTGGAATTCTCATACTCTACAGATAAAGGGTCAACTTTCAAACCATTCGGGAGTCAAACTCCTTGGGGATAGCAACCCTGGGGTACTTAACTAACAGAAATAGGAACTGTGCCTCACAAAATTGAGCTCTGGGCCTAGGCTACTAAATATAACACTGCCAACTACTTTACCTTTGTCTTTTGTTTCTTTCTCTTGATATTTTTCTCCCCCTCTAGTTGCATTTATACTGTCCTAAATAATCTAATGAAGCATTAGTCCCAAAAAGATATATATATATGTATGTGTATGTATACATATGTATATGTATACACACATATATATATTCTTTTAGGTAAAGAAGCAAATAACTATATGAAAAATTCTTTTGTTCCAGAACTTTAATCCAGATGACTGTGATGTAAAAAGCGTTGCATTTTCAGGCTGTGCCAGAGGCCCAGCAATAGAACTCACTGTAAAAAGGTGGTGTTCAGTAAATCATGGATAGACAACTAGATTTTAACAGGTTAATATATAGATCTTTCTCATGCTATAGGACTGTGAGATATATATTATATATATACACACACATATACACATATATGTATATATACGGAATATATAAACACACTTTCTTCTGGAATGGTCACCAACACGACACATATCCACATTGGAGCCTGTTAATGATGAGGTCTTCCAGTGAAATTTCATTTAAAGATAACACAATTATTTCACTTCACTGTGGCACTATCATTTTTACCAGAATGAAAATGAGTAGTGAAGATACTTACTCCCAGTATAAGTAGACCTCAGGAATCAAAGTATTATCAACTAAAAGTGACGTTAAATTAGAAGGTTCTGGAATCTAATATCCACAACAGGCACTTTGGTACGTTTGGTCATGTGAGCTGTCATAAGTTGTTGAGTTTGAAGAAACTTGAGCTGAGTTCATTATAAAGCTGTTTTTAAAAGAATTTATTACATAACCTTAACTTATTCTCATAGGTAATGAAGTCATTTGTGTCGCTTGACTAAAAAATTTTGTTTTTAAACTAGGTGCATACTTTTTATATATGAAGTATATAGCATATCCCTCCACACCTAAGCAGGCTCCTGTGTGTGAAATATGCTTTCAAAGTCTTTAAAAGAGGATTCTAAATTTTGTATACAACAACGTTCATAACCAAACTAATGAAACCAATAAAATTTTGGGTTATAGCCAATAGCTGCTGTTAGTCACAACCCTGCAGCTACGTTAAATCCCCTTTGGTCATACCAGTAACTTCTACATAGCAGCAGAATGTAATAATGTCTCAGTTTAATGGTGATAATGTCTGATACATGGTATAAACTCAGGATGAACTATCATTAAAAGCACATTTTTCACTTCACTGAAGTGGGGTCAAGAGAAAGATCAGGTTTGAATTCAACATTTCATAATATACATTCTCAGCTTTTCATTGCCAAGTTTACAAATCTCTTTTTAATAGGCTGTTAAAACAATGAAAATTAACATGATTTATGAGTATTTATTTTTGACATCTTAATTTTTAATATGGAAAATTGCTTTACTCATCTTTTAGGAAACAGATAATATATACCTAAGTTTTAGATTACATGAATAAGTTACAATAAACAGGCAATTAAAAATAAATTCAAATGTCTTCATTTCTACATAAGAAAGCCTAGATCTGCACTCTATGATTTGTGGAGCATGACAACCATCTCTTCAAATATAATACTATTATATTTCTTTGTACTAAAAACACTTTTCTTAGAGGAGTCATTATCGTGACTTTTCAATAATAGAACTTAACGTAAAAATGTTAATATTTTGTACACTCTGACAAAGCCACGATGGACAAGAAAAACAGTAATTTTAATAGTCTTCATTTTTTTTCTTTTTTAAAAAGAAACCCCACAAAATAAGTGACTGAGACCATTTTGCTGCAAAGGCCAAATAAAAGGATTATTTGTCATAAATATGAACTTGAAGAAAATATATATATATTCCCTTGATCCATTTTCATCTGACTTCAAACCAGCATGAAGAGATTATAAAAAATAGCCTATTTACATGGCATAGTATGCCTTGGTGATATACAAAACAAGGCAGGAATAAAGCATATCATATATTCATTTTCTAAAAGACACAAATGACAAATGTTTCCATTTAACACAGGTCACTCTACCACTCTATTGCACATTATAATAATAGGCAAAATATTAGAGTAAATTAAAATATGAAATTTAACAATAAAACTGGCTAAATCTGCAAAAAATGTCAATGTGTTAAAATTTATAAAACCTTTGGGGTGTGTAATAACTAAATACATAAAGCTATAAAAATAATATTGAAACATCTGTGAAAATGATGCATTTAAAGTATATAAAGAATGGCTAAGTACAATATGCAAGTAGAAATTCTTCACGTCGAAAGAAGATCTAGTTTATAGCCTGTGGTCTTGTACCATCTTCTGTCAAGTCATACCTGAGAAAATGCATAAAGATTTATTGAAATACACTTAGGGCTAATTTTGTTAACTGTACTAAATCAACAAACATGTACTAATAGCAAGTCTCACTCACCACTGAGTCCAGCCTTTGGCAAGATCCTCAGAGGCCAGAGATACTAACAACTGAAAGAAAAAGAATAGTTCAAAGGATAAATCAGTCATCATTATTTTAACTAGGGAGGCCCATTCTCAAAAGTCTTAGTGTCATTTAAAGCTACTTAAGGCTTAAAACATTTATAATTTGTGAAGATAATCCAGAATTGAGTATTGCTATTCATAGTACATTGTCCATAAGCTTATACAAGGTGTCCCAAAAGTCTTAGTGCAATTTAAAACTATCTTTTTATCTTATCTTTAAATAACCTAATAGCATCAATGAGATGTATAATTTAAAACCTTACTTCTCTGTGAATTTCAACCTTCTCCTAAATTCATCCTTTATCTCAATTACTATAAAAAATGAAATTCAACCCTGAGCACATCAATTTTTCAGCCTCATATGCTTTCCTGGAAGGTCCCTGTATGTCTGCACCCATCCTTCACTGAGTGCGTCTGTGGGGAGAGTGTGATCCAAGGTTATATGTAATTAACTGTTATTTATACATTAACCTTCAAATTAGTAGATATGATATTAATTCTTGTGCGATTTTATTAAGTAAATTGGCTTGTTTCCTATCTCATTAAAAAAAAAAGAATTCCCTCCTTCTGCTACTTCTTAAAGTTTACAGCATCAATGAGACAACCCAGCCAGTAGCAGGAATAGGAAGAAAGGGAATAACATGCACTGCCGCATATCCTCAGTACATATGAGGTACTCTGGTGGTTGTACAATGGTGTTGTACAGTCCAATCCTTTCTTTCTCATAGAGAACTGACCAAATATCAGAACTTTGTTATGTCATACAGACCATCATCAAGCCTTTAAATGATCTTTTTGATAAGTTTAGTTTTCAGAAAGAAGAAACACTTGACAATGTTGATTTACTGTAAAAACTTACTTTACCCAGAAGCCCTTTGTCTTTGGACAAGAAGCCACCACTGTTCTTGACAGCTACATCCAGGGTTCTCCTTTGCACTTCTGGTAATGAAACACTAAAATCAAAGCTAACAGGGATAAAGATGTTACTTGCATCTTCCTAATTTTACCATTAAAAAAAAACACTTTAAATCTTGACATTTCAACTTGAAGCAGCTTTCCAAATTTTAGCTTTTTTTTTTTAACCACAAAACTTAACTACTAGGCATTTTTATTTCACTGTCCATAAATAGAAACTTACAAACCTAGTTTCAACTGGCAGACACAAATGAGGGGTTGCCATGGCATTGTAAATAAGACAAAAATTCCGCTCATGGATTCATGAGTAATATGACAGCAGCATACAGTTCTGTTAAGGGCAAGTGGCTGTCATTCTGGGAAAAGTTACATGCAATGTAACACTAAATTCAAGCCACTTGTAAGATTTCTCTCTAAATGACGTTAGTCTTTTAAAGTCCTAGTCTTGCCATGCTCAGAAGTAATTTTATGCTACAGAAGAAGTGAAACAGACTTCACAAGAGGTACACTGTCTCCAAAACACACTGTGGTGATGGAGATAAACAAAGCCACTGGCATCTGTAAAATGAAAAATGAGTAGTATCTAAGGTTTCTTTTTAACTTTTCTTTAAAAGACAATTTAAAAGGAATATGAATCAGATGGCTAAATTATATATGGAAATTAACAAAAGTTGACATCACTTAAGATTTCTGAAGAAAAATACAACTATACAAATAAATGCATTTTAACCGTTATTCTTTCTCCCAGTGTCTATCTTCAGTACATATTTTTTCACTTAACAGGAGAGTTTAGAATAAGATACCAAACAGGGGTGTGTGGGTGTGGGTAATACTTGTTTGATTTCTTTTTCCTGAATTACTATGGTTATAAAAGGAGTTATAATGGTAATTAAAAAATTAGAATTAATCGAATTTTTAATAAGTGACCTCTCTGTCAAGTGATACTGATTATGACTTGAAGTGATTATTCATAGCATTTCCCTCAAAATAACTGCTTATCGTGGTGTTAGTATGTTATGTTTATATTAATCAGAAGTCCAACAATAAAGTGAAATATCTATAAAATGAAAATAAATATGTATACATACGTGTGTGTGTGTGTGTGTGTGTGTGAGATCTTAACTATAGATCACAGTCTAGTTTTATATAATATGGGGCAGGAGAGTGGGGTAAAAAAAAATGTAAACCAATAGGACAGTATTTTAAATACCATATAACCAATCTCTCCTCATATGAATGAGAAAATAGAGATCCAGAGAAATTAAGTCAAGGTCACACCACTAGCTAGAACAGCTGGACAAAAAGCCAAGTCTTCAGCTTTTCAGTCTGGTAATCTAGACCATACCTCATGCACTCTACCACCCACCAGAGTTTTCAGTCTCCTTGCACAAATGTTAACACCAAAAACAATATGCGAGCCAGCACTAAGAACTGGTTGAGTAAGTCTTTAGACACAGGTTTGCATCCTTCCTCCAACACTCATTGTGTGACCTTGTATAAATCACCAGAGGAAACCATTAATGTCTCCAGCTATAAAAACAGGGATACAACTTCTACAACCATATAGGGCTATTGTGAGAAAGATGCTTTGTAAATGCAGGTTGTTATTAGTAGTAGTAGTAAGACAATGAGAACATACCTTTGATCAAAGACTGGATTTAATGTTTTCTTTGATACATGTGTTTTTCTTCTTCCTGATCTTCTCTTGTCTGGAAGTAAATACATTCGGACATACGGATCAGAGCCATCCTCAGAAAAGGCAATAAGATTTCTGTAATACAAAACAAAAAGACACAATATGTTAGACTTTAAGACCATATAAGCTCCTCAAAAACAAGACTTATTATCTAGATCCTGTAAAAGCTATGTGGCACACTGCCAAGCACATACTAGCTATGTATATCAATAAACAACTTGTTGATTCAAACTGATGCATTAAGTCTGAACTTCATTAATTCCTCAAGTTTATCAAGTCTTAACATTATACAACCAATATTATTTCTTTAATTTGACTTCTTAATGCTTATTTATCAAACTCGAATGGCTTCTAGTTTTAAGACTTCTTTGCCTGATATATATCTACAGATATATTCTCCTATGCCCTCCCTATGGCCTCTTTTACATCATCAGACAAAAGTTTTCCACATTTCCTTCTGGCACTTTCCAATATCGATATTTCTTCTTCTACATAATTTCCTATGCCTGGACAATTTACAACTTCATATTCATGAAACTATCTCCCTCCTTTATCCTTGCCCTGTTTCTTTCATGAAAGTAAATATAAGCAATACTAAATAAACTAATGGGAAAGGCCTTCCTTCCACCAAAAAAAATTAGAATATTTGCCCAACAATCTTATTTCTAGCAAATATATTTAATGAGAACAAGGTATTTTACAAGTGCTTTTTGAAGTAGACTTTACATACCCTATTTAGTACCTTGAAATATATAGAAAACTAATACTAATAGTGATGTTATACTGTTCTACCAAAACACAGAATTTCCTATGTACTAGTTTGAATGATTCTGATAATAAGAAAATCAAATCTAGATTAACCTATTCAAATACAATAATGCATTATCTAGTGTATGTATTTAAACTGTCCACTTAAAAATAAAACTTAAATGATACTATAACATGTTTAAGTTATTTTTTTAAAAAGCCTTATAGACATAGACCAGGATATATAATGCTCACCTACAGGAATGCACAACCACAATAAGTTTATTTCTTTGTGAACTGTGACGTATTGTCAACTGAATCTGCCCCAAGGGAGACTGCCCCAATGTTGTTCCACTACGAGAGCAAAAAAGAGTAGAGAAATTAGTTATTCCCAATCAACATTTCACATAAAACTCCAAATACTAAAGATACATTAGCAATCGTTCTCATTTGGTAAAAAGGTGTCATATGGCTATTAAGAACTACATTTGTCATTAGAGTTATTAAGAAACTAACTATAAACTTAATAGGGAAATCTGTACAAAGAAAGTATTAGGCAAGTTTTGAGGGCATGATTGACTGTTGTATACTCACTCCCCTCTACTGCTCAAAATTTGTCAGGTTTCTTTTTTTCACTTAGAAGTAAACTTCCAAGTAAGACAATAATGTTGCTTACACAATAACATTCTAAAGACATAAACTTTAAGTTACCACTTAAACATTCTGAAATGAGGTCCATTAGGTAAAGAAATTATCATGGAGGAGGTATCAAGAAGAGGACAAATGACAGATTCTATGATCAGCTGTTGAGATATCTAAATCAGCTTATAGTACAAACTGAAACAAAGGAAGGCTGAGAAGGAACAGGTACCTAAAAAGAGCTTCTGGAGCCAGGATTCTTATCAACAAACACACTAAGATGATTCTGTTACCATTTAATATGAAAGTTATTCCCTGCTTCTCCCTTTTTTCTTGCAATTCTGATGTTAAACAGGCTTATTTATAATGCTGTGAAGAGAACTTTCAAAGGTCAACTTTAATTCCCTCCACTGAAAAGAAAAGGTCAGACACCTTAAGCTTATGGTAACTACAGATTATTTTTCATGCTTATCTAATGAAACATATCAGTAACTCACTAATCATACCTTTTAAACAAGGCAGACAATGTAAGTGAAATAAAAGTAAATGGGGAGTTGAACATTTAAGGAAGAAAAAGGATACACAACAAATCTTTTCACATCCCCATAACATGAATTTGTCATTCCAGCTTTTCAGATTTCTTACTGACTTGTGGTTAGCTACCACAGCACTTTTATTGACTGTAACTAGCTTTCACTAGTCCTCTACTTCTGCCTCTTCTTTCCCATTCCTGAAACCTATTCTATTCTTTTCCATATTTTAATAAGGTAATTACTTGATTCTTAGGAAATGTTAACTTCAATTTCAATGCTACTCAAAAACCATAATTAGTTCATATCATCTAAGGTTTTAAGTTGTTCTCTTAAAACTACTTTCGGTCAACTTTTCCATCCAAGAGACAATCAATGTGAAAACTGGCTATGTCTATTTTGTAACATTCTCTCCATGAATTTCAAAGGTTGCATGATAATTAAAAAAAAATCAAGTACTAAATACTCTACTTTTCAAGCTGTCGAAGTCTTTGCCGAAGTTCCTGTGTGGCAATGGGCAGTGAGATGTCTGATGCTATGCTGGGGGTGGGCTCCTTGATGGAAAGGTGGCTTGGGGAAGAGGTAACATTGGAGGTGTGGAGGCTGGAGGAACTTTGGCTGAGATCGGATGGCCACTGAGGACTAGCGTTAAGAGGTTGACCTTTTTCATCCATATCAGTCTTTCTTATACTGTCAGGTATTGATGGGATTGAGACCATTTTGCTGGAATCAGAAACTACAGGTGCAGTGATGTGAGATTTGACAGATGTTTTCCTCCCTTCCTTGGAAACAGAAGGTCTCTTTACTTGGGCCGAATGTTGGTGATCTGGAGACCTTTCTTGTTTTTCAAGATATAGGACCTAGGGAAATAGAGAGCAAAATTCCAAAGTGGAAACATTCAATAATTCAATTCAACAAGCTTTCATGTAGGGCCTATCATATGACAGACTTAGCACTGGGGATACAAAGACTAAAATACAAGTCTCTGCCCTCAAGGAATTTATATTGTGTAGGGAATGCAACATGTACAAAAACAAGTTGAAACAAGATATACACAAAGTAAACATAAAATTATTTCAGGAAGGGGAAAACATTAACAATTAGAGGGATCACGAAAGGCCACAGGTAGGAGGTGGCACCTAAGTCTTGAAAGAATAAAGGTTTTTAAGAACAGAGCTAAGAAGGAAGTGTACTGAAGTCATGGTGGATAGTCTATGCAAAGGCTGAGAGGTGGCAGATACAAAGACGTGCACAAGGAGTAACAAGGATGGACAGAACACAGAATGCATGAGTAAGAGTAATGTGAAATAAATCTGGTAAGGTAGACAGGAAACATTGTGAAAGGATTTAAATGGCAAATAGAAAACTCTGTATTTCATCCTAGAGGCAATAGACACTGAGGATTCCTGAATGGGGAGTGGCATGGTCAGAAATGTGCTTTAGGAAGATTACTTGGGCAGGTGTATAGATGACTGACTGGAAGAAGGGGGAGAAAAGAAGCAGGGAGACTGCCAAATTATGAAGCTATTGCAATTGTCTGTATGAGGTGATGAAGGCATCAACATGGGCACTAACTGTTATCAGCGAAGACCTGGGGACAGACCTGAGAGAGGCAGTGAAGGTATAGTCAGTAAGATTTACAAACTCACTATATATGGGGATAGAAGGAGAGTGAAAAATAATAGGTGACTATGAAGGCTTAAACTTGAGTGACTAGTAGGACTGTGGTGACCTCAAAAGAAAAAGGCAAGTTAAAAGGAGAAAGGAGCCACATTTGTAACCATCTATTTACAAACATAGCCTTTAAAAGTTTAATAGAAGACTTTTTTTAAAAAAAAATTACTAGTTTAGATCTTTACTCCTTTTGCAGTAGGAATATGCTCTGATTAAGTAACTTTCCCAAGGTCACAGACTTATTAAGTGCGTGAGATTACATATGAACCCAAGTCTTCTGACTCCAAGTTCAGTGATCTATTCACTGCACCACCTACCTGCCTCTACTATCTGAATTTTACTAAGTTTTACTACACTTTAAACCACTTCTCTGCTCATTTACTTCTTATAGATCCATATACATTTGTTCTAATATGATAATTTTCCAATTCCTATAGTCTTTTACAGCTTAATTAAAATTTTCCCTCTTCACTGACCTCTTTAAATTAAATCTCTGTCTTAAGGGAAAAGGAGGACTCAGAAGCGCTGCTATAGACATCTATAACTGTCAAGCCAAGGGGCTGAAGCAAATTCAAATGTGAGTATTTAGTAATTTTTGGTCTATGCATGCAATCTATTGCCAAATACTGCCTTCCCCCCCCTTTTTTAGTAATTTATCCTGAATCTACTACTCTATGCTCTCCATAGCCAGAGTTACAGCTTAATTCTATGTCCTTTGTTATCTTCATATGGACCCTTTGCAATTTTCTTTTCACTATACTACATACCTTTAAAATCTGCTACTGTATCATTAATTTGGATAGTAAAATTCTCATCATTATTTTAACCACATAATTTCTTCCATTTCCTTTTCCCTCATTTAAAACAAAAAATAACATGCTAATAGATTACTATTTTTTTTGGATTAGAACCTAGTTTCTCATTCTCTCTTTCAAAGCTTTTTTCAAGTCGTCCCCAAAGATTCTCCTTTCTCTGACATATTTTTTCTTTTTTTCTGGAGCAACTTCCTTTCTTTGATTTCGTCACTTCCACATCCTTCTAGATGACAATTCATGTTCAATACGCCTTTTTTCTTCCTTGCTTCTAACAATCAATCAATAAACATCTGCATCTGAAATTCTTCTCTAGCTAAATGGCAGACAGAGAATAATTCAACCTGGCTCCTCCTCTCTAAACATGCAACATTAACATGACTTTCTATCCAACACACAACATACACCAGTCCCCAGGTGTTTGCATCTTGCTAATAAAACTTCTTTCAGAACACCTCTCCAAAATTATCCTCTAGAATAACTCTTCATTTGTGGCTCTACTTCAATGAATTTTCAAGCACTGTGCCATCAAAGATCCTTTTTATTTGAAAATTAATCTAATATCCTCTATTTGAATAAAAACTCCTAGTAGGGTATATATATGTATGTAATAGCTATACACACATATCAAATGTATATACATATATATATATATTGCACACGAAATGTTTCTCAAAACTCCCCATGTCCAAAATAGAGTTCACTACACTTCCTCCCTCTATCTTCATGGTTGCTTATGAAAATACATCATTGTTCCCATCTCCCATGCTTACTGCCTCGGTGTTATCCCAGATTCCTCACCCCACATAGCCAATAAGTTGCTAAACCCTGCCATTTCAACCTCTTTCTCCTCACATAGCTATCACTGTATTTCAAGCCTTTCATCATCTCTCCCTGGGAGAACTCAGTGGCCTCTTGCCACAAGTCTCCTTACAACTCCATACTCTACACAGTTACCAGTGTTTTCCTATAGCACATATCTGAGCATGTTACTCCCTTGCTCAATAAATTTCAGCTTATTGGCTCTAGGATCAAATATAAACTCCAGTTAGGTTTTTAAACAACCTGCCCCCCACCTACCTTTCTAGGCTCATTACATGCTGCCCTCCTACGCCAACTCTAAAGTTCAGCCAAAACAGACTTTTCCTTGTTCCTTACACATGGCACTCCATATCTCATCTCACTGCCTTTTTTGTATTGACCATCCCCAATGGCTAGAATTTCTTCTCTGAAATATCTCTTCTCTTACCTCTGCCTCAAAGAATGCCTTCAAGCCAGAGCTCAAGGGTCACCTTTTGTTTTTGGGGGGTTTTTTTGTTGTTGTTTTTACTTTTGAGGCATTTGGGGTTAAATGACTTGCCCAGGGTCACACAGCTAGTACGTGTCAAGTGTTTGGTCTGGGGCCGGATTTGAACTCAGGTCCTCCTGACTTCAGGGCCAGTGGTCTATCCACTACACCATCTAGCTGCCCCCAAGGATCACCTTTTACAAGATACTTTTCCCAATTCCTCCATTTGGTAGTGTCCCATCTCATACCTTGTATTTAATTACCCTGGGTTTATTTTTATTTATTGTGAATATCTATTCACTGTGCACATAACACTATACACACACACACACACACACACACACACACACGTTTTCTCTTTTGATAAGAGTATAAGCAACTTGAGAACAGGGATTATTTCATTTTTGTCTTTGTAGCCCTAGCACCTAAGACAGTTCCTAAAACATAAGAGGTGCTGAATAAATGTTGACTGATGTTCAATTATCACCTAATGTGTAAATACAAACCATGACAGCATACTGATCCAAGTTGTTTAACTAGCCTACTCAATTTTTTTTTTAAAATATAAATTGGCCTAATGTACTTGGATGGAAAAATCCAAAGAATATCCATACATCAATTCTTTAAAGTTTCTATTCTATTCTTATACTGATTTCCAGAGATATAAATACCCTGAGGGCAATCTTCATTTTTATAGTGCTGTTTGGACCAGAATTACTGAGCTGGAACCGTTGATTCATAGTCAAGTCATCACTTGCCAGCAGCTGGCTAAGAGGAATCTTCAGGTTCCCCAAGGAACACTGATGCTGTTCATCCTTGACCTACAGGAAGTAAAAAGGCAGGATATATGTTTCAGATCTACTATTGGTAAATGAAGAAAATGGCAGTTTTGACGACACTGATTTTATTTAGGCATATACTTCCATAATTGATTAGCACATTGTAGAAGGGTTTTACTAAAATATAAATCAACAGCTGTTATTTACAGAGAAACTAATGTGTCCTACAAGTACATTCTGTCTGGACTATAGACCATACATTTTATTATGGCACCAAGAGACTCCAGTGCTCAGAGGCGACAGACTATCCAAATTTATTAGAGGTCAGAAAAGAGACTGTTTTAAACCCTTTGAAAACATGTAGCATTCAAACATCAGTATTAGCATGTGAGTAAAATGAAAGAAGAATACAACAAATATGCACTTGTAGTGGGAAAACCTTTCTGTTTTACAATTCGTGGAATTTATATCTAGAGCATTCCAATTTTTATAGAGGAAACAACAATTTTCCCCCTGCACTGGTCTTTCCTGGGTCTAATTCCACTGCCCATCAGCACAGGAGCTTTGACTTACTCCAATTCTGACATGGCCTGGCTCACCAGTCTCTAGGCAGCATTGTGGCCCTCTGTTCTCAGAGATTTATCATACTGATACCTGGTTTAATGGGGGCAACCTCACAAGCAATCCACCAGCCTTAGCTTCCCCAGCAGTGGGAATTACAGATGTGTTACCACACCCAGCAATAATTTGTGATGACATCATCACAAATCACAACACAGGTCTTTTAAAAATGACTAACATATTTTGGGCCCATAGGGGAATTAGTGTATGGAATTTAAGGGCTCCATTGCTTAAAAAGAAAGTGGAGAGCTCAAATCTTAAAAGAATAAAAGGTAGGTAAATAAACCATTAAAGAAGGGTTTATAAAGGGGGCCTAAATGAAAGATGTTGCAGGAGAGTATTCAGACATTTTAGGAATCACTGCATCCAGAAAGGTGACTACTTATTCTCCATTCTCTTAGGATATAAACATAAGTGAGCAAGAAATGGAGTGGAGAGAAAAGACAACAGGAATTTGAAAAAGAAAATTTTCCAGTAAAAGGTAAGGTAACTAAGGTCTGGAATGTGTGATAAGAATTAATTTCAAGAAAAGGAAAAAATACTACTTTTCTTTAAGTACATGATTGGGAGACAGAGGTCAGCAGACAAATTTCAAGAGCCAAGAGCAAATTCCCCTATTTATCCCTTCCCACCTTCTCACTGGATCTTAGGATTCCACAATTCAAAAGTAGTGCAGGGGCGGAAGGGAGGAGAAGTAAACAAAATACCTCAACTTCAAGGTCCTGACGCTTGGGATTGTGAATGAAAAAGGTGAAATTTTCTTCCCAGACAGGTTCGTTGGTCTTATATCGAATCTGAAAAAAGCAGACATATATCAATTATGCAATATTTAAAAATGATTTTTCAGTTAGTGAACTTGATGAAATCAAATGATAAATTTTTAACCTTTCAGAACTGAAATTGAGATAATAAGAAAGAAAGGAAGCCCAAACCGTTTCAGGACATTCTGGAAATCATTTGTTTAATTGCAAATGCCAGTGTTCCTTCCAAAGGTTCTTAACTGGCTTCTATAAGAGCTATGACTATTTTGTTTGACATCAGTTATCTACACTTAGACCTTCTTCCGCTGATTGCAAAGCACTCATTACATACAGGAGATCAATATAAATTACTGAATTGGTGAATTCATACAATAAGAAAGATCAGTCAACATGATTTGAAAATTGTTACTATAACTTTATTGGTCAGAAACATAATAAATATAATACTCCCTTTTAATACAATTATAAATGATGAATATCAGAAATGTCTGTCTTTAAAAAAACACAGAAATATACTATTAATGCTAAATTGATTCCACTTTTTTTTTTAGCACAATGCCTTGTACATGTAGAAGTTTACATATTAATTTGTGATTACAATGGGTAAAAAAAGCACCATGTTTTCCACTGCATTAAATAAACAACAGTAACTTCCACATTGTCTTGCCACTTTAAGACTACCTGCTTATGACAATTTATCCCTAAATGTCCATCCTGGAATTTAAAACCCTCTGTAGTGTGACTCCAGTCTATTTTCCAGGGCAGATTCTATAGCCACATTACTACTCCCCTACTGTACTGCATATCACAGCCAAATTAGCTTACTTGTTATTCTCTTACACAACAGCCTTTTCACAAGCTGTCCCCCACACCTGAAATGTGCTCCTTCTTCACCTGGACTTTGTGGAACCCACCTCCCTTCATGGTCAGATCAAGTGCTACCTCCTACCAGAAACCTTTCCTGATTCCCCCAGCTGCTAACCCCACCCCCATTACTTTATATTAATTTTGTATGAATACATTTATGTGCATACATTTTTGTATTAATTATTTTTAGATACAAGGAAGCATAGCACAGTAGATAAAAGATCCAGCCCCAGCGTCAGGAAGATCTGGATTAAAATTCCACCTTTGACACATACTGGCTGTGTGACCTTGAGCAGATCTCTTCACTCGGTGCCTCTGGTCAACTCTCTAGGACTCTTAGCTGCAGGAAAGTCCAAATCTTCCTTGGTAGAGAGAGCTCTTCCCAAAGAGAAGTTCCCCACATGAATAAATAACCAGAGCAGTCCTATCCCACCTTTCTCTACTTATCTGTGTACAGAGTATATCCTTTCCATCAGAATTTCATCATTTTGAGGGACAAGTATTTCCAGTGCCTATCACATAACAGGCATATAATAAAGGCTTACTGAAGGTTAAATCAAAGAATGTTAAATGAAAATATTATTATTTTACCTTGCTCTCCTGGGCCTTGTGTCCAACTGATATTTGGACCAGTGGGTTAGGGTTGCTGTTTATTTTCTTCCCGGACTAATAACAACAAGAAAAAATAAACATTTAAAATCTTTAAAACAGGTTAACCGTGATTCTCATCTTTTATTCTTATTAAAAATGCTAATCTTTCACTTACAAATTCTTTCACTTTCTCACTGGTCCTTGTACATTTCTATTAGTTCCTAATGCTTACATTAAGGACATCACACAAGAACAAGTCAGCGAAAGGACAATTCCTAAACAAAGTTCAAAGCCATAATTATATCTATCATGTAACTGAATTAAGAACAAAATGGCTGTTCATTTGCAATTTAGAATTTTTTTTCCTTTTAAAAAGTAATTTGTTTTTTAAAAAATGTAGCATTGTTCATTCTTTAATGTGTATTATCATTTTTAAAGCTAGCATGGTTAAGGTGACAAAATGAATAAAGCAGAATGGATGAAAATGGAAAAAAAAATACATGAAATAAACATAACCTAAAAGAAATATTTCCTCCAAAAAACTTAATATTTAAGTTAGTACTAACATACTAAAGTAACCAAAATGTTCCTTTGGTAGGAATAGAAGAAAAATTCCAAGGTATCATATGCACATTCCTACATTTTGCCAAGTGTATCTAAATACTGAATCATGCTTACCAGCTGTTTAGCAGTCTAAGAGGAAGAATAAATGCCACTTTCAAATCATTTACATTTGAAAAACATAAATGCAAATCAACAGTAACTTCAGAAATAAGAAAATATAGTGAGAAATGAAATTTTAGCACAAGCAGCTGACAAAAAAATACAAAATGCACAGTAATGAGGTTTATTTAGAACTCAGCCCCACAAAAGACTAACACAGTTAAACATGAATTAAACGACTTAGTGGAAACTAATTGTAGCACATAAGGTCGCAAAGAGTTCATTTTAGTCACACTGTTACAGAACTAATCTCAAAGAATCTAGCTAATTGTGTTAACTATGAAAACAAAGGACATCAAGAATATTTGGTTTAGGGGGAAATTTCAGTTTACATCTACAGTGATGTATTTGAGGATAACTGCTTATTAAATACACCATGAGCCATAGAAGTAATTCACCTCTAAAAATACAGGCAGCCTACCAGTAAAGACTAAGTTGATATTGTAAGAGCAAGCTTGCTATTATACAACAGAATACAGAAGTCTGATGATATTCAGTGATGGCGTTAGTCTTTTTATGCCCTTCAACTCCAGTGAGAGATACTACTTCTTCCAGTTCACTAGCTAAACAGTCAACAGTTAATCCACTGCTAAAACAAGAGCTATTTATGTACCATTCTGATTCTCCCACACTATTCAAATTTAAAATGATTTTTGTAGATGTGATAGTATAAATCAACACTTATTGAATGTATAGCTTTGGTGGCAGAATTTTCTGGGGGGGGAGAGGAGAGGAGGATGCAGGATAGCAATAGACTAATTTTTTCAGCATCTACATGGAAACATTTAACATCTTCTAAACATTCACGACAAAAATAGTTTTGTTTTTTAACTAGTGGACAATATCAAAATTGATCATCAACATCAAGAGCAAAGATACTTCTACCAAACAGAATTTCAAAACTTCGCCTTTTAGGGAGTGGAGCTCAGTTTTCAATATACCTCATTGAATGGAGATTTAAAGCTTCCCAAGAAAAGCTATCATGAAACAGTACCAAAAGACATGACTACTGATTCAAAGATGGACTTTATTAGTTTATTAACTCAACATGCTGGAAGAAATAATCTTTCAGTGTTCATATAAAGTTGGTCGATAAAATGACTAAATCATACTCTAAATTTGGGGAGATTTAAATAGAATCTAATCATTTTGAGAAATGCAAACCAGTTAAGACAGGGGTATGACTTAAAACAGCTGGTTTTTATCCAATGCTCACTATAGCATAAAGGATATTAAATTACATCTAAAGGGCTGTCATATAAACAGGGATTGACCTTGTTCTGCTTAGCTGTAGAGGAAAAACTAAGAATGATAGATGAAAGTTGCAGGGAGGCAAATAAAATTCCCTACCATCAGAACTATCCCAAAGTGGCCTGGGTAGTGCTACTCCTTCACAAAGGCCCTCAAAGTGGAAGCTGAATGGGCTCTTGTCAGAGATGACAGGATGAGAGATTTAGAGCTGAAAGAGACTTTAAAGATGGAGGAAGGATTCCTGTCCAGGTAGCTGCTGAACTAGGTAACATCAAATTAACTAGAAGAATCTGTGATTCTGTGCAAATGTTTATATTTACCCACAAAGTTGATTTAAATGCTCCTGACCACAAACCCTTGGAAGTAAAGAGGGTGGTATTTTTAATTATGCCAACTACAATTATAAGATATTAGATAATTTTGAATAGGTCTATATGAAAACTAAAGGTTCATCTCTTTCAACATGTTTCAGTTAACTTTGTGACCTTAATGGAAAACTGTATTAGTTTACCTTTAAAGCTTTCTGAACTGCAGCCTTCTTCAAGCCATCATGGTTAAATTCTAATGGATTACTCTTTCAAGTCAGAAGAAAATGAATATACCAAGGGTTAATACAACATGCAATGAGGAGCTCATGTAAGGTTAATGACACAAAAATGGGAACCCAAAATTTAAAAATAAAAAAAGTCCACCACGAAAACAACTAAATTAAAAAAGCAAACAGTAAACAAAAAAAAGCCATTTGTTCACATTTCTTGAAGCACAAGAACTAACAATAAATATTTAATCCACAAATATTCTGAAATAATAACTGTCCTCTATAATACCTTTTTTTTTTTGCCCTTTACTTTCTCTTTGCATTAAAGAACAACAAGAACAACACAACATCAATAAGCTTTTAGGTCAGGTTACATACACTATTTTTTTTTTGTCCCAGTCCTAGCCCTTGTTTGCACCAACTGTGGTTAAATAAAAGGTCAACTAAACTATGAATCAGAACTAGGAAAAAAAAAACAAATTGCATCTAAAAGGAAGTCAGAATATGAAATGATTAAATGGTATCTTGCTTAAAGGCCTATATTAGAATCACTCTACTGAATTAATCCTGTTTGAGACATTTTAAAAAACTATAATCAAGAAGGCCATCCAATTTCATCTAAAAAAAAAAAGGAGTGGGCCTGGAAAGAGATGTCCTGGGGATATTAAGACCCTTCCCGTCTTAATTCTGTCCCGAATAGCTGTGTGACCTTGAATAAATACATCACCCATAATTTGAGGGGCTTCGGTTCCTTTACCAAAAAAAAAAATTGAGGAGACTGGACCAGAAGACACCTTTTAGCTTGCAAATTCTGTGATTTTAAGTTTCATTTCTGACTGTAGTTAGAACTTAAATGATCTCAACCAAAGTGCCCCCTCCCCTTTAAAGATAAGGGTATGTTTTGTAACCCATTATTTTCACACTTTCAAAATGATTTAAACTATTAACTTCATTTTGTTATATGCAAACTTTTCTTATCATTTTGGTTGCAATTAATTCCCAGCTGTTGACCATAATTTTCATTCTAGTAAAACTCCTTTATATTAATTGAAGAAAACTAATTTATCAATCTTCAACAACCATGGCAATCTGAAAGAAGTTAGAAAAGATCATGTAACTATTTTTGACTGACTCTAATTACTGAGATGCTCTAATTATTAAGGACTAACTGATTACTGCCCTATCATACTCTTCAGGTTGCATAATTTAGAAGCATTTCTCCCAAGCTAACCTCTACAGAAAACAGTGGTCAATGTAATCAGATGCAAAAATACTAAGGGCTTAGCAATACACAAAAGCAGAAGTGTGATATGGGTTAATTAGCAATAAATGAAACTTCTGACTATAAGTAATTCATCCTAAGTATGGCAGACATACAGAATTCTGAATTTAAAGAATTCATATAGCAGAAAACTATTTCATTTCATATATTCTGAAACACAACTGTGAAAAATTCTAAGGATCACTGACATCATGTGCTGGATGACAGCACCTGATGCTATATTTTCATATTAATATTAAATCTTGGGTGACTGGTCAAAAAGGAATTCAAAATAAACTTATGTGGGCTGTGAGTATAAAGATAAGTGAATCCCACATATGAAATTCTTATATCACACAGTGGAGTCTGCAGAAGGGGAGTTAGTGGTGATAAAGAGATCTTGGAATTTGGAAAGTTCTACACAACGATCTAAAGCCTGTTGAAAGTGCAATGGTTAAAGGCCCACTTGTACACTTAAGTACCAAAAATTTCATAGGGTCTCATACCATTATGAATCCTTCACTACTAATAGTTACCAACAATTCCATTTAGGACAAACTTCTGAGAAGATGCTACTGTTCATACTTCAATAGAAATTAATGTGAAGGGAAAATAACTTCAATAAATTTGCAAAGCAACCAAAAAAGCCCCATATAAATGGTAAGAAATCCTCTCCTTAAATTATTCACACAGTAGAAAATAATTGAGAATAATCTGTGGGGGGAAAAATGGGACATATCCAACATGATACATCTATCTTTTCAACATATTTCATTTTATAGTATCCTGTTTTATAAGGTTTGTTGTTTTTGTTGTTTTTCAGTTGACATGTATTTAAATCATGGTTCTTTCACTAACTAGTGAGAAACTGGCCAAGACACTTAACTACTCCAACCCTCAATTCCCTCATCTACTTGTCTTTCCCCTACAGGGCTGTTATAAGATCCAAATAAAACAATGTATATGAAAATGCTTTTATATATTATAAAGCATCCCATTCATTTGAATTATCATGAACATCCACTTGCCATATTCACTAAATATTGAAAAACTCTTACAGCTAGAATTTTGCTCTGTGTGAGTGTGTGTGTGTGTGTGTGTGTGTGTGTGTGTGTGTGTGTGTGTGTGTGTGTATTTAGTAAGCTGTCTGCGACTTTCCCAGAAAACGAAAACAACTAAATAGCACCAGTGGAAAAAAATCAATTGAATGAATCAAATCATTAAAAGATAAGATTATGGGAAAGAGGCAAAGAAGCCAGTATCTGGCATCAGAATCAGTCTAGTGAACTCTCAACCACCCATTTGGGGAAATATCCAAGCTCCACACATCTTCTCTACTAACACTAATGATTTTGGGATTATTTTACTGGTTGCCCAACTCCATCAGAAAATGAACTTGAGCAAAAAGGAGGCTGAGATGTAAATAATCATATGTTTTCTTTGTTAGAAGCTAAGAATGAGGAGGTGGGGAAAAAGTCTTCAGTTTTCTACTAATCTCTTAGAATCACTGAACACCTATTTTGTGCAAAGTACATGTGATCCCCATCACTGTTGTCACTGATAATTGAGAGTTGACTATATGTTGGAAGAATATAGAGCAAAAGAATATAGAGTCATAGCTTAGCTTGATATTTGACACTAATTATTTTGTTGGTGCAGGGCACTGGACTAAAGGGAAAGGACAACTGTAAGCTCTAAAATCATCCTTACATCTTACTTGAAAAGCAATCACAAGGAGAATTTGATCAATAAAAGTTAAAATTCCCCTCAAAATTTCTTTAACTGTATGCCAAAATCAACCTAGGAGTCCATATCTATGACTTCTTAAGAATTCACTCAGCTTGTGCTTCTCATCATAAGATGTAAAATACTTACCAACATTAGATAAAAAAAAATTCAAGTAGCACAACAAAATGCATAATAGTAAAAACCATGCAAGGAAATCAAATAAGCATGCTTGGTCATTCCGCCAAAGTTGATTGCTTTAGAAGCACCAGTCCACACTCCAGCAGTCTCCAATTAAAAAGGAAAAAAGTATAACACCAGAGAACTCACAAATAGGGCTCTATAGACTGAGGTAGTATTTTCACAAAAGACTAGTCCCGATGCTCTCCTCTCTTTTAAGTAGCCACACCCAAAGTTTCCCTCGTAGATACTCTTAAGAAGGTGAAAATGGAAGGAGAAAGCAAAGAGTGATGGATTGTGGTAAAATGAATGCACAAGAAGCCCTTCTATTATAAAAGTGTAAAGAAAAAGAGTCAAAGGATTCCACAACAGCTTGCAGAAAGACCCAGTGAGCAAGCTTCTTAAAAAGTCAGCAATTTAGCAAGTAAATATTTTCCAAAAATTCTTTGCCTCTGTCAGCCATACTTCATGCACAAAGTGCCCTTTGTGAAATCTTTAAGCATGTTCATTTTTTTTACATTCTCCAAACTGCAATTTGACATCGTAGAAGTTATATAATATTGAAGCTACCTAACCCAATCAACTTACTATTTTTTTTCAAATACAGAGTACATTCCAAAGGTTCAATATAGCTAAAATGGGGTTTTTAATGGCATACTATTACAGTAAAATGATAATAAACTCTATGGCAGGGTTCTATTATGAGAAAACAACAATTCACAAAGCCCAATTAAATCACATAATCTACACATGTTGACTCCAAAAAATATTGAAGACAGCATTCTAGGAGGCACAGTTATATAGAATACATTTTCTTCCTTTTGATGTAAAATAAAGTATACAAAATGTACAAATATATACACATAAAAACACATTGGTAAACTGTTAAAAAACTCAAAGGAAGACTGTAAAGAAGAACAATGTTAACTATACTGTCATCAATCAAACTGTGGTAGCAACTAGAGCAAAGGCGTATTGGAGACCTTCTTGGGACAAAGTAAAGCAGAACCAAAGGTGTTGCCCTTTGGCAAGATCAGATCAACTATTGTTTTTACTTTTTTCTACCAAGTAAACGAGAATCCTAGTCCAAGAAGAAAGAGGTAACTAGCTGAGGCACTTATGTGAATAACAAGCTCTGCTAGGGCTCCATTTTAATCTTATGTGGCTATGTAAGCAACTACATACACACACACACATATTCTCTGAGTCAAAAAAAAAAAACGGAAAATTCTCTAGCTGAATATTCACCAATATTTATAGGAAGAAACTGTCCTCAAAAGCTAACTAGAAGCTTAATAGAAAATTACAAGATTTTACTAATGTGCAGTAAAGAGTATAATAAACTGCTATGAAGAAAAATGTAGAAAATCAAGCATTTGATGCCTATGAGGTTTTTTTTACCAGATCTGCTGAAACTACACATTGAAACAAAGTATAAACAGTCATTTAATGAAGTAAACAAATGCAGTCAATCAAGATGGTACATCTATGAAGATCTACTAGATTTTGTAAATAAGAAAACCACTAAGTTGCATTGTGTGTATTTTTTTTTCATTAACTACTTTAGGGGACCACATTAACCAATGTAACATGGTCTCTTTTCCATGTTTTAAATTTTGAAAATGACAAATTTGCTTCAAAACTTGACAGCCAAATGGCTATATTTATATAAACAACATTGCGAATAGAAGTTAAGGGGAAAATTTTTTTAATTGTTGATACTTTTAGGTTTAAAAAAGCCTACCTTAATTTTTTTCCCTTTTAATATGCAACAATGAAAACTCAGGTGTTAAGTACTAACAAAAATTCATAACATCATATAAAAATAGAAGCATTCTTTCAACCCACAACTGCCATCATTACCCAGCCTACTCTACAGTCTGGAAACTACAAATAGTAAATACTTTAGATACTAAATCCAAATTAAGCTAGAATGCAACAAGAACAGAGCTCAGATTTTGAACTTAACTTCCGCTTTAGTGTTTTTCTGTTTCAATGAATTATAATTTCTACTTTAAGTTCACATTTTATTGATAATAATCCTTAATGTAATTTCTTGCTCTTTCTTTTTACACATCAATCTTTCTTTAGGGCTACTCTTCATTGGTTTTCACGGTTTATTGATGTTTTTTTTCCACTGCTATCACTTCCTAACTCCTCTTCTCTCGCAATAGGACCATCCCTTAAAATAGAAAAGCACAATTAAAATCAAGTGATCCACTGCCTATATCTGAAAATATATGCTTCACTGTCACTAGTCACCTAGTACCAACTAAGAACATTAGCAGCCTACTGCCTCTCTAATGAGAAGAGGGAAGTACGTTTCATCATCAATCTTCCCTGGAGTCAAGAGACTGCATGATCTGAATTAATGTCACACTCCTACTTTTATGAATGAAAACCCAATGTTTATTTTTCTAGGCACAAAAGTTACTCATATTTAAGAAATCACTATATGTGTGAATCCTATAAAAGAGATCAATCCAAAGAACTATCAAAATCAAAATATGCTTTCTAAGTCAAATTAAAACTCTTTGTCTTTTTTTCTGAGACACAAAGTGACTAACAGTGTGCACAGGAAAACATAAGCAAGGTTAGAACATGTGGCACAATGTGTTTCATAGAAACAGCAAGACACATTCTCAAGCAAAATGTGCTAGAAAGAAATAGAAGCATTCAAGGAAAAGTCACCAGCGTATAACTTACTGGAAGATTTCTTGCTGAATCCAAATATAAGATAAGCAATGCAGAAGAAAGGCCATCATTAGCTTGGTTTTTGTCAGCTTTAATGCCTGTTAGCACCTAAAAACAAAGTACTTGTTAGAAATATTTTGACAATCTGTTTGATACCTTATTTTTTTTATTAGACTAATCGGTTAGACAAGTTAAAACTAATGCCTTCCTTCAGCTCAATGAAAAATAAGATGGTACAGAAGCAAACATGAGTGTCATGAAATCAGACAACAACGTTCCTTTATTCACTATATATCTGTCAAATAAATGGCTCACTGGACATCCGGATCTTCATTCTCTTCTAGTAAAGTTTTGCTCTTACAAAGATGATATCAATTACTTAAAGCTGAAATTTGTGTAAACCAAATATGTGTCCTGTAAATTTATTTTAAAATACTTTGAATGTTCTTAAACATGGAACAGAATCTTGCTTAGGAATAAAAAGGCCTCATATGAAAACTCAAAAATAATGCTGTCATCTTTTTTTAAACTTAAACTTGAAAGGAATGAACCCAAATAAAACCAGGGAGATTGAATGCAGAAACAGTACCTTATCAAGATTCAAAACATTTGGCATCAACGTGAGCCACTCCAGTTTCAAATGCAATTTTCCTTTAGGGACCTCATCCAGAGTGAACCACTGAAATGAAATATTGGGCCATTTTTAAAACCTGATCTGGACAAGTCTTCACCCATAAAGGCTTGCTGAAATGCATCAAAAAGCTTAAAATACAATAATATCTCCAAACATTTTAAGCCTCATTACACTGAAGCATCAATACTTTAAAGGACACAATTTGAAGAATTCAAGTGCCTATACTTGTGTTTAAATGTTTATGTTGTTGAGTAACAATAATGGCCCTGAAAATCATAATTATAAGCAAAGAAAGGTTAGAAAGCTCTATTTTTACACTAAATTTATAATTTGTTTTACTGACTACAACAAAGTAAAAGTTTATTCATTCCTGTTTTATCAACTATAATGTGAAAAAATAAAAACTTATACTATTATTACACAGGTGTGGAACAAATGTATTTTTTTCCCATTTAGCCAAATCCTTCATCTCCTTCAACGCCAACTCAAATCCCACCTTTTCCATTAAACTCTTTCCAGAATATGCAGAATATGGTTTCTTTCTCTCCTATAGATCTTACTTTATATACCTTTCACACAGCCTTAAGATTTCTATTATTGAATTGAGCTATTAAGCCTCTATTACTTAACTTTATAAGTACTTATATCTTATGTCCCAAACCTGTTTATACTTCTTTTTATCCCCTATAGTGCCTAGCATAAAGCATTCAAAAATGTTACTGATTTGTATTTAACTTTGCTGTAGTATTTACTTATATGTAGAAATATATTGGCTAATATCAATATAAGTACTTAGTTCATCAAATTCTGCTTAGGATTGTTTCTCTGTAAAGGTTACAATGACAAAATCAAGAGGTTTAAGACAAAACTGTCAGAAAGGTACCCAAAGAATTTAACCAACAAAAGGGAACTTACTTCATCTAAGAGGCGTTCCTTCTCAACTTCGATCAGATCAATCATAAGACTAAAGAAACAATAACATCACAGCTTCAGAGCACTAGGAATTAAACATACTTTTCTTTTCTTTTTTTTAACAAATGAAGCAATCATAAGATATTAGGATCACAGATTAAGAGTTTTGAAGGCATCTTAAAGGTTATTTGTCCAACTCGCATTTTATAGATAAGTAAACTGAGGCCTAGAGAGAGACATTAAGTGACTGGTCACTGGTGACACTAGAAAGTAGCAGAGGCTTTGACCTCAAATTAAGCACTCTTAAGCACAGACCCACCTAAAGGTATTACAGAAATGCAAGCAAATTAAGAAAGCTATCTATTAATTATCATGTTAAAGAAACGAGTATCTACCTCCATTCTGGGTGTTTATACAACCTTACAGACCTGTCTAAACAGTAACATAGTTGCCATGGATAAAGAGGAGGGAACAAGGATGGGATCTCATGAGGGATGGAAGGAGAAGAGGACGAAGCAGCTACAATAAAGTTGAATTTCTCTTAAGTGCTGCTGCTCTAGCTATTAAGTTGTTACAGCTGCTCAAAATAAAAAAGTCCACACTGTTAATAAGAATCACAACGTTTTTCCTGTCATAAGGGCATTCATATTTAGAAGAATCACCTCATCCCCCAAATTAGAAAGAGTAAACCACCTAAAAGTTTTCCAAAAAGCTCAACATTTTTAAAATAGAAACTAGATAATAAAAGAGAAAGCCCTTGGGTATGAAGAAGGAGTTAGGAGAAGCATATAACTGGGTTTTAGATGAAACTAAATAGGAAAAAAATCGCAATGCATAAATATTCTTCTACCAGTAGAAGATGATTCCAAAAATGTTGTGTAGTTCATCCATAAGTGAACCATCAGAAAGGGGCCTCTGGAAAACTAAGTCAGAAGAGATAACTACATGATGTTAGGAGCAAAGCGAAGGTAAAAATAATTTCAAATTTTAAAAATCTAAGAAAAGTACATTTAGAAAATTAAGACACTAAGGCATGGAAGAATGCCAAGCAGAAGTGAAGAAGGAAAACAGAGAAAATGAAAGCTATTCAGGCTTTGCACACATTCAAAACTTCTTCCTAGAAAAATTCAACAAGCACAATTTGATTTTTTTTTCTTTTTAATAATATGCACTCATTACACTGGACTGTACAATTCAGAATTTTATTACTGGAAAATACCATCTATTAAGGCTATATCAGTAATATACTAACAAGATATTCTGCTTTAAAAACTTTTTAGCTAAACTGTCTGAATCAATCATTTATTCTCCAATGAATTACTGGCATTATGGCAGGCATCAATGCACCTAGAGCAATAAAGTGCAGTAAGATCTCTTTCTATAAGATCGTTTTGAAGTGGTTTTATTTGGCTGTAAAATTATTTCCACATTCTGGAATATTCCCTCCAAATGATATTTCATCTGAGTTTCTCTATAAATTTCATCTTCGTGAAATTATTATTTAGTAACAACAGTGACAATAATAGGGACAAGGACTCAACTTATGATTTCACTGATATAGGGAACTCCCAGATTAGGAAGCTCCCTCTACCAATGTAGAGCAGTATCTTCTCTTCAAGTCATAATCTTAGAGGGTTTCTAGAGCAATAAGCAGGAAAATGACTGACATACTCAGGGTCACACTGCTAGGACACATTAAGAATCAGGACTTGAACCCAGATCTTCCTGGCCTTAACACCGGATCTCTAACTACTATACCACCTTTATATCGAACAATAATAATATGTTTAAGAGATACTAAATCAACCAAACATTATTTCTCATATCATTATCAGTACATACAGTAAAAGAACCTAAATATGGCATTTTATCACAATACAATTCAACAGATTACATTCCAATGTCATATACACATGGAATTTACCTTCCAAGGAAATCATCCTTGTCTGGGTCTTCATCAAAGAGCTCAATTTCTAACTCCTGTCCAGGATGTTCATAAACTAAAGCCTAAAAAATAAAACATCAATTGCTGTTTTCTATTACTAATGGTAATAACACATTTCTAAAAAACTTTAACATTTTCAAAATTTTCACACATCCATTCTTTCCAACCCTCACAATGACTATTTGAAATGGGAGAGGTAGGCATTGTTTTACAGAAGGGGAAACAGAGTACCAGAAAACTTGGTTTATTTGTCCAAGATAAAGGCATGGGAAAAGCAGAGCCACAACAGGAAATCAGATCTTGACTCTCAGTCCAATCTTTTTGCCACTATGCCAAAATATACTCAAATAAATTAGCATTAAAATGCCAAAATGCAAGTAGTGTTCCAAAATATATTTATATATTGTTACCTTCCTGCACAAACATACAGAGAAATTGCAAGGCAGGCAAGCCAGATATTAATTCCATTTTATAGAACAGAAAATGAGGCAAGGGATGGTTGTCTAAGTTCACACAGCTACTTTAAGTGGCAGGGCTGGAATCTGAATCCACATCTACCAGTTCCAGGGCTATGATGATAAATGTTTAACAACCAGCTCATCAGCAACAACAACAACAAAAGACACACTTTTAACTTTAATCTGCATTACTAACATTTTCTCCATCACTTTCTTAAGGCTAAACCCCAACCAGACAATATGTCAAGCCAATTTCTAAGGTATAAATGCTTACACTGAAAATTTACCAATTAGCTCTTGTGAGCCTCTCTGAGCATGCTCCAGCACACCCCTAGTTAGTTTAGTATTCCTTTCACTAAAGCAAATGACTTTGATGGCCTAAGCTGGAAGCATTCGAATCAATATTGTAAAATTAAATACAGTGTGTACAATTACCTCATAAACTTCATTCCACTTTGGGCTGAGATTTTCTTTGATGACCTTGCTTTGAAAGATTTGGTTGCCGACCCGAATAACTCCATAGGGGTCTGATTTTCCCTTGACAAGGCCCTTAAGATAAGTATCTTTACCCTGCAGATCCTGAGCTTCGATGAAATGTATTCTTAAGACACCCTGAGAATGAAGACAAAAAACAAAAGCGATAAATGGCTGCTTACTTTGAGGAATTCTTGACTTATTTTTACATGTTAGTTTTTTCAATATTGTGGCTTTAACAGGACTACTCTAGAAGGGGAAGGTGCCCTTTTAATTAAATTGTTCACATTTTATCCAGAGAAAAATATAACTGCTCAAGTTTTATACTTCTAAGTTTCTGGTACATGAAATTAAGTTAAATTTGGCAACAGACTTAAGGTAAACATGTGCCTAATCTTAAAGTAAGTACATTTTTTTTAAATTTTTTTATTTTTAGGCAATTGGGGTTAAGTGACTTGCCCAGGGTCACACAGCTAGTAATTGTCAAGCGTTTGGTCTGAGGCCAGATTTGAACCCAGGTATTCCTGACGTCAGGGCCGGTGCTCTATCCACTGCACCATCTAGCTGCCCTTACAGTCAGTATGTTTTAAATGGTACCAGAAAACAATTTCTAAATTTCAGTGAATTTTTGGCTTTTCAATGATGAAAATTTGAAGTTAAAACACTATCTTGCTCTCTTCAATGTACTACTAACTAATTCTGTTGAATAAAGTAAAAACTACATACTGTTTTCTGCATTTTCTTTGAATTCTCCAGCATTTATCAGAGTAGTTAGTATGCAGCAGGCACATAATAAATGCTTATTTTCTGACTGATTCTTATCATGAATTTACCTGGTGTGACACAGCTTATACAAAACTACGCCTCTCACCTCCAAAATACAGCTAACCACTATGGCATTTAGACTCCTTACTGTAATCATTGGATCAAAATTAGAACACTTAACAGGCTTATCCAACTTATATAAAAGGCACCTGAAGGAAGCAATGAAGTACTCATTATCTCTACTCCCTCCAAAAGGGGACTGAATTTCTTTTGATCTTAGTGAAAACAATGGATTCTGTGTGTATGACATCCTATATAATACATCATTCCAGAATCCACAGAAGTGACAGGTAACATTACTGACTTCTGCTAGAAAGGTGTGTGTTATAACAACCCTACTAAAAGAAATTAAAGAGGCACCTTTCCATTATAAGACAGAATTCAAATCAATTTCTTGTATCAATGGGAAAAGGATATAAAATTTGTAATAACTCATGAAAACTTCAGGAGATAGAATAATACGACTTTGAGAAGACAACTTTTCTACCCTTCCCCATAAGATCATTTTTTAGAATTTAAATATTTTTTTGAGAAAGTTCTTATATGACCTGAATTTTTTAGTATATTTTAAGCTGAATTCTTTCCTTTTCAAACTAGAAATATCTAATGTAACCATCTCTAAATTAACTGGCTAAAGAGTATATGAGTCATTTTATGTCATTAATGTTTAATGAACAGTATAAATGTACAAATATATTTTGTATACTTTCCTCAAAGAAAGTATTTAAGAAGCCTATGAAGAAATTTCAAGTATACTCCAAATAAAATTATGCTGACATCTTATTTTTCAATCAACTACATGTTAGTCTCTTATCACAGGGATTATTTCTCTCAAACCAGAAAGAGTTTATGAGGAACTAATAAAACATACAAAAGTATTTTTATCATCTTTGTAGAATAGTTCTGGTAGCTTTGAGAGAGTATATTAATTCTTTTCTCTTGAAAAAATAATTTTTTGATGATGCCTTTATTATTTTTTACAAGATTAAAAAAGAAAAACAGGGAAAATGAGCATAACTGGTCAATACATCTAAAAAGTCTGAAAGTATGTGTACTAGACATATTGTGTTGTGGACCTCCTTGCTTTGCAAAGTGGTAGATTGGGACTGTTTTATCATATCTTCTTTTTTGAAGCATGCTTCTTCTTTATAATTTTATTACGTTGAATTTTTTTGTGTGTAGTCGTTCTTTCCCTTGCCATTGCTGTAGTCAATCACGTATTGTTTTCTTGGTTCTACCTACTTCATTCTACACTTCTTGTGGGTCTTTCCCTGCTTCTAAGCATTGGTCACATTCTTCATTTCTTATAGCACAGTAGTATTCCATTACATGCACATCCCACAATTTGTTTAGCCATTCCCCAAACTATGGACCTCTATTTCATTTCCAATTCTTTGCCATCACAAAAAATGTTACTATAAACATTTTGGTTACGTATGTCTTTCCAACCAGAAATGACAGCATCTCTTCAAATCCTACCAAACAATTATCTTGTTAATAGTACTAAGTTTAGCTCAGAGAACTGCAGTACAAGAACTTTGAAGCCAATCCTTTAATACATGTTACCTGATCTCTTTCAGACTCAAATAAGAACCGAGTTCTAATGCTTGGGTGACAACGGTTTCATAACATAGGGAAAACCTCTCCATCTTGAATATACTACTACTAGTATTGTTTCTTATAATGCTTTATCAAAAGAAAAAACAAATGTAGAAATAAAGTATTTAATTTGGATTCTTAGACATGTTTTTTAGGATATCACATAAGCAATATCACTTTCAAAGCTATCATCCAATTCAAATGTAACATTTACTGGATTAAACATCTGGCTTAATAAGTCTTCTTACTTTAAGAATTACTGAAGCTCCATCAAACATTTATAAATTGTCCTAATATTGCATTATACTTTTGGCTCAAAACTTCTTCTCCAAGGTGACTGGGTTAAGTTTATATTTCCACAGCAAGAAATGGACTTATTGAAACAAAAAATAATGTTGGCATCAGAAGAGGTTCTAATCAGTTAATTTTAAAGAAAGAAACGGGTTTTGTTTGTTTTTAAATAAGAATAGAATATGTTTACCTTTGGTATAGGGAATCGCAACTGAGCAATCTGAACTTCACTGACAAGAGGAACTGTGATTCGATTAGGAAGCACCAAGTAATTGGATATTATATCCAGAATGATAGTATCTGATAAGCCACTGTAAGATACAAGAAAATAACTGTCATGTATCAAAATAGGTTTTCATAGGTAATAATTAACTCACACGATAGTGACAAAGTTAAAAATTTCCCTTGCTCACCAAGGTAATAGCCTAGTTTTTTTTTAATATAGCATTCAGAATTGGTTAATAGGAAGGCTTAAACATTCTCACTACTAAAGCTGCTATAATTTATATTGTGGTCTGAAAACATAAAAGGGTTTGATTAACTTGTGTAATTTCCTAAAAGCAAGACAACTTATTGGTTCCATCATTAAATATTTAACATTCAAAATGAAAACATATTTCATTAAATTTCAGTCTCCCACTCTGAATGAAGTAAATGAATATTCCACACATGAATCCTTCTAAAAGACAATAAACTTTTGATTCTAGTATGAAATAGAAATTGTCATTATCTACTATATTACAACCAAGGAAAATTGAGTACTGTAGTGAATCATAGACAAAACAAAACAAATAATTATTTCAACTGATACTTCCAACCACCCTGCCCTCCATTTTTAATAATACCTGCTTTGGCTTTATATAGGGTTGTTATGAAGATCCAATGAAATTATGTTTGAGAAAGCACTTGTTAACTAAAAAATGCTGTATCAATATAAGCTATTATTCTTCGATGTGTAACAGAATACCCTTCATTTTCAATTTTTCTGTATATAAAAGAAGAAAGGCACTCCTTGATAGTACCCTTAGGGCATAGATGCTTAATATACAATTAATATACTTTAGTACTTCCAACTATAGACCTCTATACATGTTATTAAATACTCACATGATAGTGCATCTCCCACATCTCTCCTCTCACTGATAATTAGTTCAACACTCATACTGACTATTTCTCTCTCCTTTCACCCCCTTATTTGCTACAGTGATTTTTACATTACATACTGGCAAAGCAGATGTTCTTTTCCCTGTCTACTCTGGCACAAGAAATGCAATAATTTTCCTAAAAAAGGAAACAAACAAACAAAAAAAAAACACTGTCTAACTGACATAAGTACTTTGGTTACCAGTTGCATCACAATAATAAGACTGCTATAAGCCACTACCAAACTCTACTGTCCTTGTTAATGGTAGGAAAGACCTCCTGAAGAAGGTAGGATTTTAGCTGAGTTCAGAAGGAAATTAGGGAAGCAAAGAGTCAGAGGTGAGGAAGGAGAACCTTCCAGGCATGGTGGAAAGCCAGCACTACTGCACAGAATGGGACACGGAGTGTGATGTATAAGGAACAGCAAAAAGGCCAGTATAACTGGATCACAGATTGTGGGGAAGAAGGAAGAGTCAAGGAGGGGCCGAGGTTACGAACCTAGAAGGCTGGAAGAATGGTGGAATCTTCAACAGAAATAGGAAAGCTCAGTGTGAGGCTTTGGGAATAAAGATGATGAGCTTTATTTTGGACGTAGTGATTTTACAATGGTTATGGGAGAGCCAGTTTGAGTTCCTTTTTTTTCCCAGTAGGAGAATTAACACTTGTTAAATGAAAAAAAATCTAATTAAAAATTAAATATCCAATAAGTAGTTGGGAATATAGAAATGGAGGCTCAGGACACAGTCTCAGCTCAGATATATGAACAACTGAGTTATGTATATACAAATGATATTTAAAACCATGGGAGCTGATAAGGTCACTGAGACAGAAAAGATAAAGAAGGAGCCCAAGAGAGCCTTAAGGGTATGCCCAGTTAGCACTGGATGATGAACCAGCAAAGGAATCTGAAAAGAACTGGTCAGACAAGAACAAAATCAGGAGAGAGTACTGTCTGAAGCCCCCTAAAAAAAAAACAAAGAGAGAATATCCAGATGGTTAATAGTACCAACGTAGCAAAGTAGTCAAGAAGAATGAGAACTGGACAAAAAAAAATCAGATTTGGAAATTAAGAGATAATTGGTAATGCTAAAGGGAGCACTTTCACTTGATTGATGAGACTGAAAGGCAGACTGAAGGAATGAAGGAGAAGAAAAGAAATGTACCTTAGCACTGACAGCTTTTTCCAGGGCTTTGGTTGAAAAAGGCCAGAGAGATAAATAAAGAGATACAATAAAGCTTATGGGGAAATTAAAATTTAATGAAGATTTTTTTAAGGATAAGAAGTTCTGAGCACATTTCAAGGCAATAGGCAAATAATCAGTAGACTGAGAGAAAACTGGAGGAGATGAGTGAAGGGACAATTTGCTGGAAAGGATGAAAGAGGATAGGATCAAAGATACATGCAGATGGGGGTTGCCTTAACAAGGAAGGCCACCTAATTTTCAAAGACTGTCTAAGTGAAGAAGGTAGTGTCAATGCAAAGATCACTGACTCTGGACTTCACAGGCCTGGGTTCAAATCAATCCTCTGACAAAACCATTATGACCTTGGGTATGTGACCCAAATTCTCTGAGCCTTTAGTATGATCTGCTACAAAAGCAAAAAAGACAGTGATCCAGGGAGGGAAAGCAGGATGCGGAAGCCCTTAAGATCATGCCAAATGAAAACTGTTAGAGGAACTGAGGATCTTTAGCTTGAAGAAGAAGACTCATGGGGAATATGTTGTGTCCAAGTACCTCCACGGCTGTCATGTAGAAAGATTCTTAACTTTGCTTGGTCCTAGAGGGAAGAACTAGGAACAGTGTAGAATTTTTAAGGTAAACAATTTTAGGTTTAATGTAAGGAAAAATTTTCTAACAATCAGAGCTATCCAAAAGTGGAACAGGTTGTCTCAGGAGGTGGTATCTTACTATAGGCAGGTGTTTAAGCACTGATCATACTTGTCCTACTAGATTGAAGAAGGGTGTGGACAGGATTATCAAATAGCCTCTAAGATCTTTTTTAACTCTGGCATTCGTGATCCCTTACAACGTCACAGCAGAATGCTATCTACGGAGTATGTTTTTACAAATATTTATTCACTCACTGTATAGTTTAGGAGGAAAGTAACAATCTATTTAGGAAAAAGAAGTAACTTTCCCCCTAATATATAGATTTTGAAGGAAAACACAGTAACAGCCTGTTTAATATCAGAAAAAACCAAAGTTATGTATAAAATAGGTTAGTACTAATATAACTGTGCTTATTAAATATTTCATAAATTCCTAACTTATATAACAGTAACATATTTGAATTATACCTAAGAGCTTTTCAATGGTGAAATTCAAAGACATAAAAAACAAATATGCAAGCAATGGACAAAAACACTCCTTTGCTGATACGATACAGAAATATATGTAAATTGAATGAGTATTAACTTTCAGATATAAGCAGCACCACAAAAGAGTTCACAACTGCTGTCCATAATTACAGAACTTCCTTTTCAGGTTAGTGACTTATAGCTTTGCCATAAATAAGCACCATTCAAAGCTTGGGGCAGATAAACAACAGAACTAGACTGGTTACATTTTTCTCACCAGGAAGGGGTGTGTTCTCTGGAAAGTTTATAAATGCTTACTGCATGAAAAGGCTTTACACTTTCTGTCAACATTTCATTGCTTCAGATTAATGAATAGACTCCAAATAGGTGACTTGACCTCTGAAGTTCCTCATTTCACACCACCCCCCTCTGAAATTCCAGAGAGTACAATGTAATTTGTGCCCAGTGCCTTCAAGCAATCCTTCTGGCAATCAATGATTTTAAATTACAAAATGTGGCAGAGGCCTGGATGATAGAATAACTTGAAAAGCAAATTGAAGCTAATGGATCATCCTTTGATGACATGTTCAAATGTTAGGTTTTTGTTTTGTTAAATTAAGATCTAAATAAATATAAACATATGTGTGTTTATATGTGTGAGGTTTGTGTGTATGCATATACAAAGGGGTGTGTGTATATTTGTAGCTAAAAAGCTATTTTCTTAATTTGTCAGATGAAAGGTGATGGTAATGAAGATGATATCTGATACTTACAGCATTTTATAATTTACAAAGCACTTTCCTCACCAATAACCCTTGGAGGTAAGCAGTTCAAGTATAATTATCCCTATTTTGCACATGAGGAAATTCATGTTCAAAGACTTAGTGATCTGCTCAAGATAACAAAGCTACCAGCAGCCATGGCTCAAATTTGGACCAATGAAACTTATTCACTTTACCATACTTCCTTTCTAAAGGAAAGGACATGGTGATGAAAAAACATCAAAATAGATTTTAAAAGGGGCCAGGGAGGAGGGGGTGGGAGATAGGATTCGGAGGCTTCTGAAATCATTATTACTCTAGCAAATCTGGAGCTAAGTAGGACCATAGAGAGGATTTACTCTAGCTCCTAACCCTCACCCCTGCCTCCCATTTTACTGATGAGGAAACTGAAGCCCCAAATGGTGTACTGGCTTGCCCAAGGTCACACATGTAGCACATAACAGAATCTGGATTCTAATCTAGGGCTACTAACAACTCTAGTGCCCTTTCTCCTTATGTTATGCCACGGCATCCTCAAGTCGCTTATATTCTTACATAGCTGTTATGATGCAACCTCCTTTTTCAGAAGAATATAAGAAAAAGATCCCTTCTTCAACATTATATACAGATGCTCAGCAACTAATCACTAAAAATAAAATCTATTAAAGTATTAATAAGTTAGCTATTAAACCACATTATTTAATGCTTACTTTAGTCCAGGAATATCCAGAAGATTAGTTAGTCCTGTCCAATTAATTTCCAAAAGCTGTAAAAAGACAAGAAAGAAAAAATCATTACTTATACTTTCCTACAAAAGAAAGAAGTTTATTAGTAAGAGTTAAACATATTCTTCTCATTCTACATGTTATACTCATTTTTAAATTTAATGGAAAATAAACAACTACAAAATTCACAACAGCGGGATCAACCTCTCTCTCTCTCTCTCTCTCTCTCTCTCTCTCTCTCTCTCTCTCTCTCTCACTCACACACACACACACACACACACTGCCCCCCCCGAATTCTGAATTCATGCTTCTACCAAACATGTCCTCACTATAAATCAGAAGTATATGAGCTGAAATTTACCTTACTACCATAGAATATATTTGAAATACATACCATCTAGTAAGCAGGAAAGATCTTTCTTAGGAGAAGAAAGATTCAATTAGCATTGTATAGACTAAAATTCTTAGAATTATAAAATGGTAAAACCGGAAGGGATCTGAAAAATCACCTAGAACAGGAGTGGGGAGCCTGCAGCCTCAAGGCCGCATGTGGCCCTCCAGGTCCCCAAGTGCAGCCCTTTGACTGAATCCAAACTCCACAGAACGAATCCTTTTATTAAGTGGACTAATATATGTAATACCAAAATAAAAGTGTTTTTACAAGCTTTCAACATAAAAACTTAGAAAAATGTCAATAAAACAAACTTAAGAGTACACATCAGCATTACAGGGAAAGCTGTTTTTGCCAAACTGAACTAAAGATTCAACTGAATGCTTCTAATCTCTCTGCCCCTGAGCACTTTGATGGATCTCACACCCAGGGAGTTTAAAGCAAAGACTCAAAGCAGTAAGACCCCACTGCTATCACTTCTGATGTTCTGTCAAGTAACTTAAATCTCAGTTTTCCATATTAGCTAGATGTCAGTGGAATCTTTCACAGGGCTAACAAAAGGAACATTTTCACTGCTGCTTAAAGAGCCTACTACCATACTCCTCGCAATGGTTGTTTTCCACTCTCAAATTACCAAATCTACATGTGCACTCCTGACAGACTCACTCAGAACTCCTCACTCCCTTACTCTACTGAGAAGAATGAACTCTCTCAAGCTCTCTTTCCATCCTCTTCCATATACCTTCTACACAAAATGTTCACCTGGCCTTTTCTCCTGTCTCAGGAATTACTATGTCCTTTCCTCTGCAAGGCTACCCGCTCTCTTGAACAACTATCAATGAATTATTCCCTCATCCTCATATATCCACTCATTCTTTAAAAATCTTTTTATCTCATTCTTTAAAAAAACAAAAACAACCAACCAAAAAAAAAAAAAACCACCTCCCTCAAGCGTGCTGACTTAGCTAGAAGGGGCCATAGAGATCATCTAACATAATGCACTCACTCGGACAAAGGAAACTGAAATTCAGAGAGGTTAATGACTTGCCCAAGGCCACAAGGCTTGGACTGGCAGGACTGGGATAAGACCCCAGGTTTTCTGGTAACTCTTGTGCTCTTTCCACTACACCACACTGCTGCTGCTGCTGCTTTTTTTTTTTTAACATAAACAAGTCTTTTTTATTTGCCTCTCTTTCTCAAAATGTATATAAAAAGCAAAGTTACCATTTAATTAGATCTTCACTTCTGCCAAGTATTATCGTTTTCTAGAAAATTTTCAAGAAGTTCATGAGTCTTTAAACACTAGATTTCAATATTAATCATTTTTATCAGAATCCATTACTTTTCTTCTGTTGAACTTAACTGTTATTTTCTTTTCTGTTTGCGGGCTTACTTTTTCAAGAATTTCTATCAGTCCTTGCTCTGATACATTTGCACTCACTTGTCCACATCTTGCCATCTGTATTTGGTAGTTCTCTACTGCTTTAGCCTTTTCTGGCTTTACAAGAGCTAAATCACTTAACCTGGTCTGTGCTGACTGATCCAAAACTTCAGCTAAAATACTATTTCTCATCTCTGCTTCCCTGTGTTTTGCCTCCTGTTGCGCTGGGTTGCCAGGAAAGTCCCTGTGCTTTGCCTGCAGTTCAGCCAGCCTCTGCTTCCAGAGGGCCTCCAGGTCTTCATCTGCCACAGCGGGTCTAATTGGGTGGAAGATGAGCTGACTAGAAACATCAAGGACCGAAGCCCCTTGACTCCCTACACTGCCTCTTTTTCTCTATCTTTTCATTTTTGACTTTGCTGACAAATTCCTCAAAATAGTAATCTACACTTATTACCCAATAATTCCTCAACTCCTTGCCAGCCTAGCTTCTTCCTTTCCATGTCCACCTGCTACTTCTATTAAACTGTTTCTTAAAGAGGGCAGAATAACAAAAAGTACAGTAATCTCAAAAGAGAAAAAAAAAAAGGAAAATTTCTTCCAAAACATCTAGAAAATGCACCAGACTGGATACTTACCAGGAAATTCAGAAAAAAAAATCAAAGTGAGTCATTTTTCCATGCCAAGTAGGCAAAGAGAGACAGAAAGAGAAGTCTGCAGACACTGGGGATGGTGTCTGGCCTACAGCCAAGCATGGAACCCTCCACTGCAAGGAAAGGTTGTACACCATGGAAAGAGAAGGTACCAGATGTAGCACAAGAACCTTAAATTTGCATATGGTACAGGAACAGGTATTTGGCAGCTCTACCCACTTCCAAGTCACAGATGGAAGGTGGATTAAAGGAGGGGGCAGTGGTGTCACAGGATGAGGTATGGTCACAGACCTAGACTGTTAACCAAGAAAGGTTCAAGTTCAGAAGCAAGTAGCAACTATATGGCTTTCACTCCCAAGAACAGAGCAAGTATTCATTTTCAGCTTCTAACCTAGTCTTAAGCAGAATAATCAGAGCAAAAATCCCAAACTAAAGGGGAGCCTTAAGTTCTGCCATTCTGGTTTTTCAGAACATTTCACTGGTTGAAAGCAACCAAGTTCAGAAGCAATCTCCTAAAAGGCAAGCCCAAAAGCTCCCTGCTCAGACCCAAAACCAGGCTAAGAATTCACCAGGCACCCCCTACAAGAAATCCCAATATGAGAAGTCCTAGGAGCATTATAGCAAAAACTGAAAGCAAAGAAAAAATATTTTCATTAGTCAGAAAGACAGAATTCAAGTACCAAAAAGCTACAGCCAAGATCACGCAGGATTTAGCAGCCACCATTTAAAGGAACAGAGAACTTGGGAGTGTGATATTTCAGAAGGCAAAGGATATAGACATATAACCAAGAATGACTTACCTAGCAAAAGTGTATAATCCTATAGGGGGGGAGGGGAGACAAACCTTTGATGAAATAGAGGACTTCTGAGCATTCCTCATGAAAAGACCAGAACTGCATAGAAACTTTGAAGTACAACCAGAAGAGTAAAAAGAAATATAAAAAGGTAAACAAGAATGAACAATCATAAGGGACTTAAAAAGGTTAAACTCTTTATTAAACTGATCAAAAGACAGAATACACACACATAGCTGGGGAGAGAAATGCATTTCACTGAACAGGAAAATAGAAGGAAAAGGTGAGAAACGAGGAAGAATTAGAGGAAGACTAGATTAAGAAAGAGATTAGTCGTAAACAAAACAAACTCCATAAGAGGATATAAAAAAAATTTACAATTCTTTCTGTGATGTCAAGAAATTAGAAACTGAGGAGGTCCCCATTAACTGGGGAATGATTGTACAAGTTATAGTACACAAATGTAATGTAACATCATTTTGCTGTTAAGAAATAATGAAGAGGATGGTTTCAAAGAAACTTGGAATGACCTATATGAACTGATGAAGAATGAAATGTAGAGAACCCAAAGAAAAATTTATACAGTAACAACAGTATTGTAAAAACAAACAACTTTGAAAAATGTAAGAATTCTGATCAGTGTAATGGCTAATCACAATTCCAGAATCATGCTACTCACCTCCTGATAAGTCATTCACAGTGCAGAATATTTTTTGAACATGGCCAATGTGGAAACTTGTTTCACTTAACTATACATGTTTCTAACAGAGGTAAGAGTGGGGGTAGGAGGGAGAAAAAATAAATTTTTGTTGACTGAAAAAATGATATTTTTTTAAAAGTAACTATTCCTTCCAAGATTAACAATGGTTTTTCCCAGTTGCCAGATACAGCAGTATTTCTTTAGTGCTCATCTTCCTACACAACTCTGGAAAGCCATAAAAGACTGCTGATTATAACAATTTCTTGAAAGTCAATGAAGTTTTTAATTATCTGGTAATACAGTATTCTAGTTCTTTTACTTCTCAGATTTCTCCTCTTCTTCCTTCTTTCATCCTTCCAATGGTACTATTTCTATAGATTCTACACTAGATTCTTCTTTCTCTTTACAAGTCATCTCTGGGACTTTATCTTCTCCCAAAGCTTCCAAATATGCTTTCATGTTAAGAAACAGGAAACCAAGTCCTCCAGTCCCACCTGTCTCCAGAGAGCTAGTCTCATTTTCTAAGATGTTCAGGATATTTCCACCTGGATATTCTGTTACAACTCAAACTCAATATTCCTAAAGTCAAAAAGACATTTTATTTCTATTCCAATTATCTCCTACTTCTTGATGTCAAAGACTACTATTCTCTTAATTACACAGGCTAGAAACACTATAGTCATCCGACTCTTCTCACTCCCCCAACACATTCAGTTACTAAGTTCAATAATTTTTCCTTTAAAGTGTCTACTCCACTCCCTTCTCCCTTCAGGGGCAGCTAGGTGGCACAGTGGATTTCACACCAGGCTTGGAGTAAGGAAGACTCAACTTCATGAGTTTAAATCAGGCCTCAGACCTTTACTAGCTGTGTGACCCTGTGAAAGTCACTTAACCCTGTTTACCTCAGTTCCTCAGCTGTAAAATGAGCTGCAGAAGGAAATGACAAACCACTGCCAAGAAAACTCCAAATGAGGTCAAAGAGAGTCAGATACAACTGGAAAAGGACTTAACAACAACCACTGCCTTCTACTAATCAGTAAAATGAAGGTAAACATTTGCAATACCTAACTTCAAAGGACTGCTGGTCAAAAGTTTTATAGGACTTCAGACTAAGATAGCTGCTTG